TTGAAGCGTTGGCATTAGCTACAAAGCTCTTTTCAGTCCCACACCTTGCCAGATCATCTGCGCGTTCAGCTCCATGAGAGACAGTGTGGTGTAGTGGTTAGGGTGTCGGGTTGGACCTGCCGAGGCTCTTGTTCCGCTGCCATTGCCCTCTCTTGGCCACGAAGCTCCTTGAGTGGCTTTGGGCCACTCAGTGCCCAAGGTATAGCCTACCTTGCAGGCTTGGTGTGAGGATAGAATGGAGAGGAGGCAAGGCAGAAGAATGGCGGAGCCGGTAACTGGAGGAGCCTCCGCTGGCACGCCCGTGTGGGGCTGCCCCACAGAGAAGGGCCTGCTTCGTGGTGGTGCCCAGTGAAGGAGCTCCTTCCTGGCAGAACTTCGGTGCCAGACCTCTGGACTGCGGGCCAGTTCCCCTGCTCCGACTTCATGCAGTCCCCTTCGCCGGGCCGTTTCCCAGGCTGTGCCTGCCTCTTCTCCTTCGGAAAGGCTGGAATGCCTCGCCGAAGGCTCAGGCCTGGGAGGGAGCGCTTTGGGCTGCAGTGGGGACTGGCAGCTGCTGTGGCACAGTGGTCTGAATGTTGGACATGCACGAGAATGAGGACGATGGTGACGGGGGGGGTGCGTGTTTGTGTGTGTGTGCACACAGCCCTTTCTGCTTTGGGCCTCTTCACGCCGCGCACCATCAACTGCTAAATTTGCAAGGCCATTTTTGGGGCGTCGGCATTGCACACTCAAGTAACTTTTTGGATGGATCTGTTTGGGAAAAAGCAAGAATCTTCCCACCCTGTTCCTGGAATGGCAACAGCCCTCCAGTGAGAGCCTGCTTATCTGTACAGAGATAATTGCCCGAAGCACAAGCTGAGACTAACGGCTCTTTCATCCCAGCCAATCCATCAAGAACTAACTTTCTGTGCAAACTGATATTATGATTCTTCTACTAAAGTGGAGGTTTCCTATGCCGGAATATTGATTTAAAAAAGCAAAAGACTGACCAATGAACACAGCCTTCATCGGGCGCCTCTTCTCGTTGCTTACATTAATTTCAGCCTATTTTTGGAGCTTTAGGAATAGGTTGCCCAACAGTTCCTTTCATTTGTTTTGCCTTTCATCGCTTTGGCTGTGTGGACGGATTCATTGATTTGGCCACAGTGAATAATGCTTTTAATTTCTCTATGGGCAAAATGGCTCTGAAAAGCTCCCAGGATTTGCGGAGTTCCCCACAGATTCGAGTAACTTCCCTGCCTGTGGGATTCATTCCTCTGTGTTTGGAAAGGTCTGCCTTCAGGGCTCCGACATTCCCTCAGGGAGAAGGCTGAGATAAGCGCCATCTTGGGACGGTTTGGGTTGCTACTCCCAGTGCCTGCTAATGCAGCTCAGCCTGCTCTGGTGAGGCTGGGTGTGAGGGCGCCCCAAGTCCATAAAGAAGTCGGACCTGCAATTAGGGCAGGTTTTGGAGCTGGGGGTGGACTTTGAACCAGCCTCTGTGGGGCTTTTATAGCGACTGGGGGTGATAGAAACTAGGAGAGTCTTATCAACAGAATTGTGGAGAGCGCTCCTTTATCACTATGGGGCCAGGCAGGTTGTGGGTATCCATGCAGAAGTGGAAATAGAGGGAATGTCTTAAGATGGTCTGTTAGACCAGTGGTTGTCTATCTTTCCACAGCTGGGGACCAGTAAAAACAGGCTGAGGCACCCTGCGAACTGCTGAGGCAGAAACAAAAAGCCCCATACACATAACAAACTATTCTGTATATTAGTTTCCAAAGACAATACCACAAAAATAAAATTGAAAACTGTGCAAAACAACCGGAAACCGAGCAACAGAAGTGCAGGGGCAGGCTGTGCCCTGGCAGCAGCTGCCAGATTCATCCCATGGGTTTGGGTTTTGGACTGTTTCCATCTGAATCGTTCGGCGAGGTTCTTTGGACGCTCTCCGTCGCATGAGAGAAACACTGGCTCTTGCGTGCCTGCCCCGGGGGGGGGGGGGGGGCTTTCGAGGGCTCTGTGGAAGCGTGCCCTTTCGTGTCAATTCAAGGTGCCCACGAAGGAACATGGCTTAGATAGAGCATCTCTCACAGATGCTGTGGACTTAAAACCTTGCAGGTTTGTTTACCATAATCAGTGTACTTGAAATAAGCCAGCATCCCCCTTGGTGGAGTGGCAGCATCCTATCATTGACCACACTCCATAATTGCCTTCGGGGAGGGGGGGTTGTTTTGTTTTTCCTCCCCCCCCCGCTCTATTTAAATGTGAGGTAGGGCTTCAGACAGAACAAAGGCTCTCAGCTCACCCGCCACCTGGTCTGGGGTGGGTCATCTGATTGCTGATGGTGCAACTAGTCCTCATTATTGGGGCCTGCTCAAAAATCCCGTAGTCCTAATCGCTAGGCCTTGCTGGGAGCTACCGCTCCATAGGAAGGCCCCGGGAAGGAGCAACTGGTGTGCGCACTGGGTGTTCCCGAGAGAGGCTGCGAGATCAGATGCGGCCAGCAGACATTCAGGATCTTGGCCTTTTGCACATTTTTTATTAAGATTTTAAACTAAAAACTAAAAAAATCATCAAATACATCGGACGTACTGGGTCAGCCCCCATAACATATCTTTTAAACATTCTATAATCATATTCAAATTGATTTATAAAAACTTAAAGACATCTTTAAATCTAAGCCAAGTCCCGTTTCTCCAGCCACTCGTAAAAAAGGTCCCAAGTTTGATAGAAGTTAGTATCTTCTTTTTCCTTCAATAATAGAGTCAATCTGTCCATTTCTGCACAGTCCAGAATCTTTTTTAAAATAAGTTCCTCAGTGGGTAGTTCCTCACTCTTCTAGTACTGAGCAAGCGCGATCCTCACTGCTGTGATTAACTGTAGCATCAAATACATTTCTTGTTTGCTAATATTTTCCGGTACAATACCTAACAAGAAAATTTCAGGTTTAAAAGCTAAGGGTTTTTGTAGCATTTCCTCAAGTCATTTATGTATTTTAATCCAATACTTTTTCACATATTCACAAGTCCCGGAACCCTCCAAGTTCTTGAAAGTGACTTCTCACCCCCAGAATTGGGAGTACACTCAGTTTTATTTTCTGCATGCTGGAAGTCCTCTTGGGAGCGTCTCCCCATCTTTCACTGCCGGCGTGTTCATAGCGCAACACTCAGCATCTCTCCACTAACTCAAAATCTCTCTTGCTCCAGTGCCACTGGTAGAAACCAAGAGCCGCAGCTAATCATGCAGATGTAAAGTGATTCCTTTGGTTCCTGGTTCTCAGGTCCAGATAGTCCTGCTTCAGCCCTGTTCTTTGGCAAATTTCCCAGGGCTTTATTACCCACTCGCATTCTTTAAGCTACTTAACTATTTCTGCCCCAGAAACAGCTTCTGTGCCTCTTACCCCGTCCTCTCTCCTGTTTCTCTTCCTCGTCCATCACCATTCAAGCACAAGCACCCGGGCAGCTGGCCTGGGCCGAGCAAGTGCTGGTCCCACTGGCCAGGCTGGACTCGTGTGGCCTAGTGGGTGGAGTGCTGGACTGGGGACCCAGGAGATCTGGGTTCGAGTCCCCATTTGGCCCTGGAGCCCACTTCATGGTAATTTTGGGCTGGCCAGCCGCTCTTGAACTCACCTGCTTCACAGGGGTGTTGTTGAGACAGAAAACGTGCAGAACACGTGAGCTGCCTAGACTTCATTGCAAGAGGAAGACGTGGGCTAGAAATGCGCCATCCTCATCAGACCTTTGGGGCTCTGAGGACGTGATGCGGAGCCAGGCTCTCCCGGGCCGTGGCTGTTTCTGCCTCGCTTGGGCTGCCCAGAGGAGAAGCCGTCCTGCACCTTTTCTTCTCCCGCTTCCCTTCCAGCAAGGCTGCCAACACTCCCGAGTCAGCAGAGAAGACAGAGAATCTTTGCCTTGACGTCTAATTTCCTTCTGTGCCTCCTGTCTTAATACGGGCCCTGCTCCCAAATCCTTTGACGCTGGCGCTCCCTGGTGCTCTTCAGTGCCCCCCCCTTCAATTCCCTCTCAGAGCCCTGCGCTTGAGGTCCACCCCCGGATTGGGGGAGTGGGGAGGCGTGATGGAGGCAGCGCTGTGACCGCTCCCGCAGAACCCCCCCCCGCGCCCAGAGGCCCCCGCCAGCGACCATCGCCAATACCCTGTTGCGCTCTGTGTGGGGCTGCCCTTGGCTGGCTCAGCGGGTGCAGCGCACAGCAGGCCGGGCGGGGGGCCCCAAGCTGTGCCCACATAAGCCCCACAGGAAAAGAACTCCGCCACGCTCAGTGTTACTCTCGTGTGATGCGAAGCGCTCTGACTTCAACCAAGCTGCCTAGCAGACTGACTTCCCTTAGATATAATCCAAACAACTGCCAAGGCCATCGGGTGAGACCTTGCTGGTCATTCCAGAATTAATCCCATGCTGCCGCAGGACACCTTGAGAGCAGGCCTCCCCCCCCCCCCCCGTCCCATGGAGAAAACCCCTCGTGCCATTCAAGAGCCAGAGAATTTGGTATCCTCCAAACTCCTCCTGGAAACACCTGTTGGTTCAGGCTTTTCCCAGCCTGTAATAAGGCTGAGTTGAGCGCTGCAGCATATGATGAAAGTATAGGAAATAAATTTACCCTCTTTGGAAAGAATTGTGCTCAGGCCCAGCTGAAAGGGAAGGCTACACTTGCATGGGTAGGATCCATGCGGTTGGCCCCAACACATTGTGGGACCACTGGGAACCAGTTGCAAAGCTCTCTGGCTCCTAGATTTTGGATGAACAAGGAGCCACGATTGTTTGACACCGAGAGCTGTTGCAAGGTCTCTGGCCTTGACTCAGATAGGGCTGGCGTGCTGCCCCGGTTCCGAAAACCAAAAGAAATGAGTATGTTGGAGGCGAGAGTAACTTCCCGGTGGTGTGACATTTCTAAGGTTTTAGAACTCTTCTAGTACTGCAGGCAGCCCTGTACATTCAAATAGCCAAACTGATTTTTTGAGGCAAGCTCGGCTTTTTTGCTAATAAAAAAGCTGACACGCACTTGCAGAAAGCACTGTTTTATCTTCATTTTATAGATTATATTTACAAAACAATCAAGAAAAGGTTATGAATGCCAGCTGTAAGGAATTACTGAAAAACCCAGGCTCAGTGGAAGAACAACTTGCAATTCTCAGAGCAGGAAGAGAAGGAAGCAAGGCAGAATGAAAGGAGAAGCCAAGCCGTGAATTTACAGCCGTCGGTGGGCCAGCGACCCAGGCCCGTGCCCTGCTTCTGCCCTTGTCTTTCCCAGCCTTGCTGTTTGCATCGCCTTCTTGTGCTTTCATGCCGCAACAGATGGGACACGGGAGTGTGTCTTTGCTAGACACAAAGGTCTAGCAAAGACACACTGGAAGGAAAGGGCTCCCACCAGCGCTGCAGGTCCGCGTCTCCCAGGGGCTGTGGCATCCTCCTCCGCTCATGGCAGCCGCTCGTCTGGGGTGAAGTCGTTCACATCCAGGCGCAGCCTCTGCTTTCTGTCACCCCATCCAGGAGCCGGAGGTGCAGCAGGGCATCCTGCAGATGCCTCCCGGGGCCGGCATGCCGCTATCGCCAGGCTGGCCTTGGGCTTCCTACTTCAGATGGCGACGGGGCCAAAGATGGGCGAACGCCATGGCCGGAGTTCCGAAAACATTCCCATCAGGTTGTTTTGCGAGTGCTCCCAGTCCTGTCCCTTCTGGATCCTTCTAGAATGAATGGTGCTGCAAAAGGGCCTGCCTGGTCTCCTTGGCCACCTGCTGGTCTCAGGGGAAAAAAAGGAAAAACTCAGAGTATAAACCAAAACAAAGGTCGGCAGCTTGAAAACACTTCCAAAATTCTGCCCCAAACTAACCAGTTCCAAGGAACGGCTTCCGGAGTAGTGAGTCCGGTTGCAGCAGGTCACAAGGAAGAGCTTTCCCCTCTACAGGCTCAGCCAGTGATCCCAAAAGACACGGTGGACGCTTTGACTCAACCTGCAGACCTTGCACAGGCCTGAATCGAGCCCAGAGCTGCAGTTGGAGCCCAGAGGACGGCAGCAGCTTTGTCCATCCACACGGAGCTAAATTCTCCAGAATGTGCCACTGCGGGAGAAAATCCTTCCCACGGGTCCCTTCCTCCCAGCACTGGTCCGAAGCTTGCAGTTCCCCCATTTATATACTGTTAGCTCCGATCATCTGGGCTTTTCTAGAAACTTCTCTCTTCCTGTTGGAGTGCTGCTGTCCAGGAGGAAAGAGAAACAGAAACGGAATGTGTGCTTCCCATACGTCACAACCCCTCTAGATGCTCACAAACACACTCCTGCTTCAGTCAGCTTTGCAGCCCCCTCTGGAATCTCCTAGAAAGACCCGGAGGCTGAATCGCAACCACAGGGTTGTCTGGGGCGCCCCGCTAGGTACCGAGCAGCTCTGGGGCTCAGGCGGAGCGGAGGAGAATAATGCCTAAATGTGTGTGGACATGGCAATTTGTGTATCCTCCATTGAGGCATTTGAAACGTCGTGCTGGAGCGGAGCTCGGAAAATAGCTGGACCAACACCAGGAAGAACAAGTGGGTACCAGATGAATTTGAACTGGAGCTTTCCCTAGGAAAAATGCCAAAACTGACACTCTCGTACTTCATACCCAGCATGAGAAGACGACTCCCTGGAGGAGAAAATCACGCTGGGGAAAGGACACCCGTTTTAAAAAGAGGTGCTTGAGTGGAAGAAGAGGGGGTTCAATTTCAGGAAAAATATCTCAGGCAGTAAGAGGCACGCGGGGGCAGCAGGAGGGGTGCCCATGTGGCCCAAAGCCAGCCATTTTGGACCGGCCCGTTAGGCATTTACGATACGGCTCTTTCAGCTGGCGCCCGTAGAAAGCAGCGTGTTGCCGCAGAGGGTCTCCCAGGAACGGGCTGCAAGCGGCGCTGCCGGGGCTGCAGTCCGACTGGGCTTTGCCCCACCCCCCTCTCTGCTACTTCCATCTTCCCTCCAGCAAAATGGGTGTAACAACACTAGGTTACTTTGCAAGTCTAACCAGAAGACTCACCTGCACGCAGGAGTGTATTCCATGGAACTCTGACAAACTGCATGGGAAAGAGAACACCTGTCTGGCCATGAGGCGTTGCTTGGGGCAGGCCCGCTGCCTCCCAGCCCCAGTAAAGCCATTCCGAAGACTCCCCACACCCCTGCCCTGACAATGGATGAGAAGATCTCTTTTCCAGATGGTGGGTGTGTTGCTAGGACTTGGTTGACTAAACATCAAAGGAAGGGGAGAGGTTTTCCCACTAAAAACAGGCTCATATCCCAGACGTGACATCCAAGTGGCATGCATTTTAAAAAATGAAAGTTGCAAATCAGGATTATGGCTCAAAGCGGTGTGGGGGCAGGATGTTTTACTGGCAAGCCTGAACTGGTTTTACTGGGAAATGAGATTGCAGTCCTGTGTACTTTCAGATGACAGACTCCTAGCAGCAGAGGCGTTGTATGACTTTACTGCCCAAACGTGTAGGATGGTGTTTTAAGCCTCACCAGCACTGAATTCTGAGGTTACATGTTTGCAAATCTTTCTTACCTGGAAAGTTTATTGAAATTAGTTCAGTTGCACTGTTTTAGCCATAACAACACAATACACCAGTTAAGAATGGCTGTAGATCAGCGAGTCGTGTAAGAAGAGAAATTATATTGCAGTTAAAAAAACAGCTGAAATGAATGGGATACGTCCAAATGAATCATGCTAGGGAAGGTCGAAACACAGAAACAGAGCGAGTCAGAAGGGGCCTCCTGGGCCATCTAGTCTGACCCCCGGCTCCAGCCAGCTCCGCTCACGACATGCCCACCATGTGCATGTCCAGCCTGTCCTTGGACACCCGCACCGATGGGGCCTCAACCACCTCCCGGGGAAGCCCACTCCACACCCTCGGGGTCCTGACTGTCAAGAAGTGCTTCCTGGCATCAAACTGAGCCTTGGTCCCTGAGCTTGGCTCTGTTGGAGCACGTCCTGCCTTCCTCTGCAGGGGAGAACAGGTCTCTGCCCACCTCCTTGTGACACCCCTCACATACCTGCGTGTCGCCAGGCAGAAGACAAGACGGCCATCAAGGGAGCCAGTCTTGAATTTTCCAAAGCTGAGCAGGACTGTCACCCTGTCCAATGTTTTAGTTTCATGGGATGAGTGTATTTTAGCAGATAACTGTTTAAGCCTGATGTTGCTGTTAGTTCACTGTGGACTGTTGTTGACCGAGAATCCCAGGGAGCACGGCTGGCTGGAAGAAGGGCCCTTCCAAGGTGAGAAACAGTTCTCCGGCCTGGAAAGGGGGAGTTGGAGCTCTGACCCCCCCCCCCCCCCCCAGGAGAACCCATGCCAGCTGCCTCTCCAAGGTCAGAAAATCCAAAATGTAGGAGGATGGGGAGTCAAAAGTAGCCTTTGCTGGTCCTCCCGCCCTGCTAGCACTGGCCTTGCAGGGCATGGGAGTCCCAGAAGCCTCTGCCTGGGGATTAGCAAGCGACCAGCCAACCCTGGCAGAAACCTCAAGAGCAACAACATGGCCCCTGCAAGGTAGGCCAGCCTGCCAGAGTGACGGGGCCCAAGGTCACCTGCCCAGTGAGCCCATGGCAGAGTGAAGATTTGAATTTGGGTGTCCGCCACCTGGGCCAATGCCCCCCTCTCTACACCCAAGAGCTTTCTCAGCTAAAACTCAGCTTTTAAGTGCTGCATTTGCACGGGGATTTTCATGCAAAATGGTGTGGAAAACAACCAGCAAGGGTGAGATAAGGTGGTTCTGATGCTTCCCCCTGCTCCACACTAATTCCTTTTTATTTATTTAAGGTTTTTATATGAGACGCAGTGTGGTGTAGTGGTTAGATCATGGGACTGGGACTCAGGCAATCCGGGTTTGAGTCCCCGCTCAGCCATGGAGCCACCTGGGTGACTTTGGGCCAGTCACAGACTCTCAGCCCAACCTGCCTCACAGGGTTGTTGTTGTGGGGATCAGATGGAGGAGGAGAAATGATGTAAGCTGCCTTGAGCCCTTTGTAGGAAAAAGGCAGGATATAAATCGATAAATAAATAAATAAATAAATAAATATGCTGTTCCAGTACTAAGCCTCTGGACAGCTAACAAAAAACAAACAAACCCAAAGCAAACCATAACAACACAGTGCATCCAATAAATAACGATAGAAACAAGGATAGAAACAATTAACTTAAAATACTGGGAACATAAAAAGGTGGTCTTCCCTCTGTAGTCCTCCTTACTGTGCAAACCAGCGCCAGGCGGGCAGCACCACCCTAAGCGCTTCTGTCCCGCTCCGCCACAGTCCCCGCAAGCGCCTCTCTCCGCCGGTTTTGTACATTTACTGCATTCATACCCCTCTTCCAATCAACCTCCCGGCTCCCTCCTCATTTACCCTCACGACCACCCGGCGAGGTAGGCAGAGCCAGCGGCCGGCCCCCTGGCCGCCAGCGTCGGCGCAACGCTCAGCGGGGACCCGCGGCAGCGCCTCCGCGCCCCGCTCGAGCCCCGCCCCGGCGCCGCCCGGGGGCCTGCGGGGAGCCCCGTCCAAGCCGCCGCCTGCCCCGGGGCCGCCGTGCGCGGCGCATCGCGCCGCCGCCCGAACTTTCTCGCGGCGTCGCGGGCTCTGCGCCGCCCACGGCCCGGAGAGGCGTGCCGGCCGGGCCAGGGGGAGGGCGCTTCCAGAAGAGTCTGGACGGCCCGCCCGGCGTATATAAGGCGGCGCTGCGGCGGGCCCGGCATCCGAGCCGAGAGTCGGAGCGGAGAAGAGCGGGCGAGCGAGCGAGCAAACAAGCAAGCCAGCAAAGAGGCGAGGCGAGGCGAGCGGAGAAGAGCGAGCGGGCGAGCGAGCAAGCAAACAAGCAAGCCAGCAAAGAGGCGAGGCGAGGCGAGGCGAGGCGATCGGCAAAGCAAAGCAATGGCGAGCCACTCCGTGCACGGCAGGATGCGCCCGGTGCGCGTGATGCACGACCCGGACCTGAGCCCCCTGTGGCTGTACAGCCGGGAGCCCGACTACGGGCTCAGGCCGCTGGGGAGCCAGAGCCTCTTCAACCAGCTGATGGGCGACCTGCAGGGCCACCTGGACGAGGTGGGGCGGATGCGCGCGCTGCTGCTGGACGCGTACCCGCTGCTGGCGCTCGGCGAGGAAGGGCAGGCGCGCAAGGGCGCGCAGAGGGGCGCCCGGCGCACGGCCTCCCAGGGCGCGGACAAGTGCGAGTTCTCGCTGGACGTGCGCGGCTTCTCCCCCGAGGAGCTGACCGTGAAGATGGACGGCAGGAAGCTCACGGTGTGCGGGACGCACGATGCGCGGTCGGAGTCGGAGGACGGCTGCCTCTCGCACGAGCACCGCGAGGTGCGCAGGGAGGTCCTGCTGCCCGAGGACGTCAACCTCGAGGCCGTGGCCTGCGCGCTGTCGCAGGACGGGCGGCTCTGCATCGAGGCGCCGCGCCTGTCGCTGCCGTCCGCCGAGGAGCGCACCATCCCCATCACGATCACCAGGGCGCAGGAGGCGGTCGCGGAGGGCACCAGGCGGCCGGCCGGCGAGGAGGCGGACGCCGGCGGGGAGCAGTGAGCGGGCGAGCGCCGCCCGCTGCGACCACCCGGACCAAGCCGCGCATTCATTCCCTGGCGCTGGGCTGCGACCAGCGCGCGCTTCTGCACGCGGGGAACGGGAGACAGGCGGGCGGACGCGCTGGAATCCGTTCCGGGCTTTTCACGGCTGCGCTCGGGATGCGTTACGTGGTTTTCGCTGGGGGGCTGTGCTTCGTAATCGCTGAGGCCTATGTTTTCTGTGTAAGCTCAGTAAAGCTGCGGTTCATTCCTTCATTTTGTACTTTTGGAGAAGCAATCCGGAAATAAAATGGCATTTTCTCCCTGTTAAGACTTGTGTCTCCTTGGCGCGTCACTAGTATGCGCGGGTAGGTGGGGCAGATTTCGGGGAGGGCTGCTAACGGTCCCCTGACAAAAGAAAACACTCCAGGGAGAACGGAGCAATTACACTCCGTTCACGGCAGTATCAGCCTTCCAACGCGGTGCTGTCCCCCTGCGCTGCTTCCACGGGAATGCTCGGCATCTCGCGCATTCGGAATCGGCTTCCCCTCTAGAGCAACCTTCCCCATCCCGGGGCCTTCCAGCACGCTTGGACTGCAGCACCCAGGATTCCCAATCAATGGCTCTGCTGGATGGGAAGCCTAGGAGTTGGCCCAAACGTCTCTGAAGGCCATCAGGTTGGACAAAGCTGCTTTAGAGGAAAGGGGCGGAGAACGCGAATGCAGAGAAGCCGCATTCCTGCTTCCCTCCGTCTGGCCTGAACTGCTGCACACAGCTGGCTTTATCCAGGCAACAGTGGAAAGGAACGCACCTCCACAGACATGCTCAGAGGTTACCACCTCTCATACCGTTTGCGTTCCAGGGATGAATCTTGTAATAAAATACAAATTACTGGCTGAATTGCAGTGCGAGCAATTTCAGGTCTGACTCGACGACTGCTGTTGGGCAATTTGCGCTATTGCTGAGGGCAAGAAAAAAAAAGCAAGCAACTCCCAGGCTGGGACTGGGGGGTTGAACTCCAGATCGGAGATGTCTCGGGCCGCATTCCGGGACTGGGTGGGACCAGAGGCCACAGCGGCGGGGCCAAAGGCACCAGCAAAATCGGCTGCAAGCAGGCTTTGCCACCCGCCAAAACTTGGGAGGCGTTTGAACCGCCCTGCACGTCGCTCTTTCGTCGGCTGCTCCCGTTTCATGCAGTGCATTCGGTTCTCTTGCATTTGGGCTTCTACCCGCAGTGCGCCACGTGGGCGAGGGCCGAGAGCCAGCTGGAGCTGCTGCACCCGTTGAGCTTCTGCCTGCCACCGTGGGGCTAAACGGACGGGAGCCTTGCAAAAAGGACGCAGCTCCAGCCCTGCGCCGGCCGCGGCCACCCGCCGAGCTCCCCGTCGCTCTTCTCCGGGTCCCCAGCAGCCTCCTCCCCACCCAGCAACGCCAGAGCGCTCCCCTTACCAGGGCGCCGGGGTCTAGCCCGCTTCTGCAACAGGGCCGCGCCCCTGGGGCCGCTGGGAGTTGTAGTCCAAGACGCCAGGAGGGAGCTGCAACTCCACGCTCAGTAGCCCCGCCTTCGAAAGGAGAAGAGCCCGGCCAATCAGAGGAGAAGAGAGGTCTCCTTCCCGGGCGGGGCCCCGAGGATTGGACAGCGGGGAAGCTGCTGATTGGTCGGGCGCGGAGACCTCGCCTTCTCTGCTCCTCGCCCGGAGCGAGCGAGCCCCGCCCCCTGGGAGCCCCTTGTTCTGATTGGCCAGCGGGGCGGGCGGTGCCTGGAGCGGCCGGGGCCGAGGCCTCTCTGGCCGCCCCTGGGCCGCTGTCTATGGTCCGCCTGGGCTGAGCGAGCGGACGCCTTGCTCGGCCTCTGCGGGCAGCCGCGCCCGCGTCTCCGCACGACCGCCCTGCGAGGTAGGCGCGCCGGGGCCGCCCGCCCGCCCGGGCGCCGGCGCAGGGGCCCGAGGGCGGCTCCACAGCGAGCGGCCGGCTGGCAGGCCGCGTCCTCGGTGCGCGGCGTCTCCCCGGCGTGCAAACACGCGTGTGTGCCTGGGGCGCCTGGCCTGTCGTGGGAAAGGACTCGGCGCCCTCCGCTGGCCGGGGCGAGCTCCTGGGCCTCTCCCCGCGGAGGTTCCCGGCGCTGCGGTCGCGCTGCTTGGGCGGGGAGGCAGGAGAGGCCTGTGTGGCGTGGAAGGCTTTGGCCTGGTTTCGCTTTTACAGACTAACGTGGCCACCCTCGGGGATACGCACACGTGTCTACTGGTATGTCTGGAAAGCCATCAGGTTGCGCTCAGAGTAGGTTTTCTATCCAAACGGCGTATCGTCGACCAGAAGCTGTGTGCGCGCAGCAAACGAATCGCTGGCAAGGCACAGAGAAGCTTACGCTGATGGCATTAAAGGTTTGGGCTTCATCAGTAGCATGGTTGGATACGCAGATTAAGGATGCCCATGTCCAGAACCTTTAATTTGGAAAGTAATGAACCTTCAGCTATGCTTCCTGTTCTTTTTAAAGACTCTTTTGTACTTCCATGGCACACGACGCCTTCCTGATCATTTTCTCCATCAGCATTTGGAGCTCTGGTTTCTTGGCAGCCGAAATCATTTTGCAATGGATAAAGCAAAAGCATTTTAATAATTGTATCCTTACCTTAAGTTTTGGCATGTGCACACATGTAAATACATCACTTTCAAAGCATGCCGATGAATTTTATACTATTAAAAATATAGGTAATTTAGTATAAACATATATTTTCTAGAAGTAGATATATCTTTTAGGCTGGCCTCTCTTGACCACAAAAGTGTTCTCAAAGGCCTACATAGGTCAAGTCATTTGGATTCTTCAGCCACAGTTTCACCAGATATAAGGAACTGTAATTGTCTGGTGGCCTTAAAGCGTGTCTACCATGTAATTATAAGCTGGTTTACCAGTTGTGGCTTGTGCCTCAAGAATCCTCGAGATTGCTCTCTCCATGAGCAGCTTAGGATGTCAAAACCCTTGCCCTAAATAAGGTAATAATAGACTTGATGGTGAATGTGCTCACTGTCTTGTCTATAGATTATTTCTATAGATAGATGGAAAATTTCTTACCGATATTTTAAAATACAGTAAGCAGTGCATATATGTATTCCATTTAGTATTATTAATAATAATATTTTATCTTCTACAAAAATATGAAATAGGTTTGTATGATATAATTGTGTGATCTTTTTTAGGACTGAAGGAGATCTAAGATGAATACTGTAGTCATGCAGTCCTCCCATCAAATTTTACAAGGAGATAAGAACATATATTATATCCTGACTGAAGACATCCCTTATGGGAGCAAGTTATTCATTGCAGGGAGTATGTGTTACCTGAACGAACAGACGTATCTGAAGCAAATTAACCTGACATTCAGCAACTACTGGCGGTTTGTCATGGAAGAGGATGGTACTGTGGCCACCATGAATGTGAACAACCTACAGCCTTTGAGCGACAAGAAGGCCAACTTCCTCTCAGCCATCAGCAATGTCCATGAGCGGCTGGATTGTTTTCTGGATGGGCATGTTCTCGATGCCGCCATGAATGCCAAACCAGGCCAGCAGGTCTTTGTGGAGTGCAACCAGCAGACTCTCTTTGGCATCGTCCGCTACATTGGGCAACTTTCTAGGAACTCTTTGCCCTCTGGGCTTTGTCCAGTTTACTTTGGGGTGGAGCTGCAGGTAAGATGATTTAAGGGGGAAATGCTTGTTTATGTAGCCTCTTTGGGGTGTTCAAAGGGCTTCTCAATACTCCATGAGGTACATTCTTCTGGATGCTTCAGTCTTAGAACTGAGTTTCTTGATGAGGAGAACAAGTTGCTCTGCCCTTGTCAAATGAAAATGTGAAACGGTTCGTGTTTTCTGTGTCTTAGCCAGTGCTCGGATTAGAATATCCAAGTTCTGAGATCATGAAACTCTTGCTCCCGCTGGATGTTGGAGGAAGTCTTTTTCAACATCCAGACCTGATTGGAGTGCTCCCTTTCACCTGTTGCCTCCAGTCCCTATGGCAATGGAGGGAGGGAGCTGGAGTGGAGACTGTGATACAAAATGGGCCACTTGATAAGCTTTCAGGCGAAATACTAAATGAATATGCGCTCCTTTAATATGACTATTAAGCCAGAAGTAAATTTCCTGGTATATCTAAACCAGGCTGCCTGTGCAGTGCGGTGGGTAGTGCATCTACACCGGGCAACTTCTACAGTGTATGGTGTTGGTCTAGTAAACCGTGGGGACGGGTTGCCCTCAGGATGGGGCCCTGTCCTCCTACCTGGGCGATTCCTTTGCTCTCTGCGCTCAAGGTTGTCTCTGTCTGGAATGCGAAATGGACTAACGCTGTACTTGCAGGGCCTCTCTGAACGTATCTGTGGTCTGGAGCATAACGTAACCTGTGTACTGCTTCTCCAGGGTGATGGTGAGGGCAAAGGCTGCTGCGATGGCACCTACAATGGGACAGAATACTTCACGTGCAAACAGAATTGCGGGCTTTTTCTGCCGTTTAACAAGCTGCGGTTCCTGCCAGCACTGGAGGATGACGAGGAGAAGCGGGAGGCAAAACCCGATGCGGCTGGGGCAGTGCCAGTGAAAGTGGGGGACGCCGTTGGCTTCTACCTGGATGACCACCTCACGCGCGGCGTAGCAATGGATGTATACCAGGAGAACGGCACCTGGATGGTTCAAGTCTGTCCGGTAAGAGAGTCATCGGCTCCCTTCTTTATCTCTCTGGAAGAGTCATTGATCTGTACTTTCATGCCTTGCAGACTTGCAAGTAGAAGATGGTGCTGCTTTCATTTTAAGCATCAATGACATAACTTGATTTTCCAGGCAGGTGCATCTTAAGGACGTACATCCGTCTTTATGTGGACAAATGAACAGAATTGCATATAGTGCAACTGTGTAACTTGCTGGTCAATAATTTGTATGTCTAATGTTCAGGTTCCACTGGAAAGTTCCATTTAAAAAACCGCGAGTCCCAGTGTAAGCCCAGACGTTTGCCTGAGGCTTGGGACAACTGCCAGTCATGATAAAATTATATTAGCTTAGACCTAGTTAGACTCGGAATATTGTAGTTCTTTGTGGCAGTCTTGGTTTGATCACTTCCCTCCCTTTTTGAGATTTTTGTGAATTGTGGTAGAATTGCAGCCAACGTACATTGGTAGTGCTGGGAAAAATCTGGGATGTACTTTCTCTTACTTGGAAAGTGTGCCCATTCCAGCGTCTCACCATGGTGGCGGTTCAACAGGATTTTCACACCAGAATTAATTCAGCTTCTTTGACAGAGATTTTCCAAGAGTGGGGTTACTTCCCACCTCAGAACACCTAATCTTTCTTAGAAAAGGGGCAGAAGGAGCTTGGGATGGTGGGTTTACAGGAGCCAGACACCTATGCTACTGGCTGGACAAAAAGAAGATGAAGTCAGTGATTTCAGGAGTCCGCCTCATGGTAGGACAACAGGAGCACCCAGACGCCTTCCTGAAGAGTGGCAGATGAGGAACTGAGAGACCTCAACAGCCAGAAAGGGGAAGCAGCGCGGGGGCTCTCATGCACTGAAAGGAAAGCAGAAAGATGCTTCTTCAATTCCTCTCCGCATCTAAGACAGGAAAGAATTGTTGTGGGAACCAGAGAGCAAGCCGGTACAGGTTGTCTTCCTCTCAGAAGGTTTCCAAGCATTCTGTGCTGCAGTCATAATCTGTCTTCTCTAGAGCAGTGATTTTCCAAAAATATGCTGGAAAACGTGGGGCTAGTTTAATGATAAGGTTACTAATGGTATACAAGGGTCCCCGGGAGATGACTTGCCAATGGGCAAGTCACACTTAGGAAGTGTGTTTTCATTTTACTGTGGGGCCCAAGAGACGTGGCCAGCCTTCTCAGGGAATTGAGTGTGATGCCCCAAATCACGCCGAGTTCCCCAAATCTTTGGAGATGAGCTGGAGTCGCTTGGCAGACAGGCAGGGAGCTCTCTGTAAGCAAACATGTAAAGAAACAGCAGAAGTGACACATATTAAAAACTGCTCTCGAGTAATTCCACAGAGTTGAGAGATAACTGAGGCTTGTGGGTGAAATGCAGCCATTATCTGTACTTGAAATGAAGCCAACTTTGGTTCCGTAATGTTTTTTTTCCTTGGTCTGTAGGAGGAAGAAGGATTCACAGATTTGTTCCGAAATATTCCCCTGGATTCTGTGGTAAAGGAAGAGCTGCTGTCCCCAGGTGAATTGTCCCTATAGTGGACTGTCTGTGTGTGTGTGTGTGTGTGTGTGTGTGTGTGTGTGTGTTGGCCAGGCTCCTCCAGGTGACAAGGCAGCTGTGCTGCATTAGCTTCTGTGTTACATTCCCCTTTCTGAGCCCTTGAAGACACCGATGTTTGAGTGCAGGCAGGGGGAGGAGGAAGTGAGGCAAGGCTCTTACTTGGGAGAAACGAAGGTCTTTGCTTTGCTTTGCTGCACCAGGCAGGAAGACCTTTCGTTGAAAGAAAGGCTTAAGCTGCAATAGGTAAAACGTGTTACTAAAATTACCTAGAAACCAGATTGCTGTTCATTAGCCGCAGAAAGCAGAGTGCATAGCCAAGAGCAGGTATGGGTAACCTAGCGTCCTAACCCCAGCCAGAGCTGCTAAGGGTTGGGGTGGCAGGGAGTCTGACTGCTGGGCTGGGCCCGGGGAGATCCAGGTCTCGTCCCCGCTCGGCTCCGGACTCCGGGGCAGTCACTGGCTCGCAGCCTTACCATTCTCACAAGGTTTGTTGCGAGGTTGAAATGAAAAAGGAAGGTGGCCTTGCAAGCTGCCACAGGCTCCTTGCAAGAGCACAAAGGGCAGGTATATTTGATCTTACTAACAACATAAACAACTGTCAAGCAAGCAACATGGGATTTGGAGCTCCTTTTCTGCCTACTCTGCAGCTTCCACTGGGGCCCGTTCACAGCAGGGCAGAGAAATGGTATCGAGCTATTGCAAAGGTTATCCAATTTAAAGGTTGTGTGTTTCTTTTCAGGATTTGAAATAGATTCAGACTGTGGGCTCACAGAACAGCTGCAGCGCCGGAGAAGCGATCGTGGAGAGGACTGGGAAGTAAGGCCAGCGCTCAGTGTGAACTCCGTGGTACTAATAGAGTTAGACAAGGGGAATCCAGTCACAGGAACCATTCGCTGGATTGGCTGCCTGCCTAAAATGCCACAGAAAATGGCTGGGATCGAGCTGGTAAGAGTTACATATGCAGTTCTTGAGTTCTGTGTCTGCTCAGTTTGCTCTGGGTTTTCGCACAAGTGTATCGAACCTCCGGGCTACAGCCCTCATCCTGTCCCCCTCTGGGGTTACCTGGAAGGCCCCTCCCCCTTTTCTCCAACTGCTTATTATTGAGTCGTTTTCGAGCTTTTGTGTGTATTTTCCCACATTCGAAAGGCCGACGTCCCTCTCCTGAGGCTTACTTCCTCGAGCTTTGAGCTGGAGCTTTGAGCTGACATACCGTTGGTGCTTTGGCCCAGCCGCTCTTGCTTTTGTCCCCACCGCTGCATTGCAGCCTTCCAGATCCTCCAGCTTGGCCAGCAGGTGTGGGGAGGTTGTTTTGTGCATGAATCCTGCTCTGACATCCGGCCAGGCTGTGCTGTGCTCTGTGTACCTTTGGCGCCGCACCCTGGCGCACGTGGCTCAGCAGTGCCTTGCGGCCAGCGGTCCCAAGCCCTGCATGTCCGCCCTCACAGGATGACGAGAAGGGCGTTTGCGACGGAGAGTTCGAGGGAGTGCGCTACTTCACCTGCCCCCCGAAGCGAGGGCTGTTTGCGGCACTCGAGTCATGCCAGCCAGACATGCGCTTCCAGTGCAGCGGCCCCCGCTCCCTGGAGTCCGTGGAGCTGCGTAAGTTCCCTTCCTTCCAGCCAATGCGCTGCTCTACAAATCAAGCGGATGCGGGCTGGGAGAGTCCGCGGGCCGCTCGTCTTGCATGCGAAGGCCTCCCATGCACGTGGCTCCTGGCATGTTCCTGCAAATGGGTTGGGGTGGCCTTCTCACTCCGGTGTCCTCCAGTGCGACCATCAGTGCCCGGTCAGTGTGACTGGCGGCCATGGATAATGGGAGTCGCAGTCCAAAGAGTCTGGAGGGCACCGCTTGGGGAAGGCTGCATCAGGAGCCGTCGGAGGAGTGCTCAGCCGCCACGGTGCGCAGGGTTGGCCTCTCTCCCGTGGCTCATGTGTTTGGGACACTCAGCGGGAGGTCTTGCACTATAGCGGCGTGGCCTGCAGCTGGGGTCCCTCCCTTGCGCCCTTATCTCTCCGTGCCGGAAAAAGCCAGCCAGCTCCTCGGGAGCAGGAAATTCTGCCGGCCAGTCTTTTTCTTCTGAGAGGAAGGCATCCCTCTGTTTCAGGTGGCTCGGATGCCGCAGTGGTGCAGAGCAGCCTGCCCCCTCTCAGAGATGACATGGCCATGCGCGTCCTGCAGGGGCGCATGAGAGGCATCCAGGGCCACTGCAACTCCTGCTACATGGACGCGGCCCTTTTCAGGTCGGTGGCTCCGCTCCCCTTTTCCAAACGTGCATGGAAACCGCTCCCTCCTGGAGCTGGATCGAGAGTGGTTGCGTTTGTGGGAAACGGCCCCAGGGGAACCGGAAGGGCTGCTCTGGTCCCGAGTTAAGCTGGGCAAGCCGTCCCCTTTGCAGTTAGTGTGCGGGCTCCTCCTGCTAGACCCAGTCTTTGCTTTGCTGTGGGACTTGGTAGGGTGCTGAGTGGGGCCACAGGCTCCGTTTGGTGAAAGAAACGAACCTTCCGGTCGCTCATCTTGCTGCTGCGGTTTCTCTCTGTTTCTGTGTCAGTTTTTCTACAAACCCCCTGCCTGCCGCCGTCCTCCGCTCTGAAGTGATCCCGCCGGCCTGGTGGGGTCACCAAGCATGTCCTTTCTCACCACAGCCTCTTCTCCTGCTCCTCCGTGTTGGATTCCATGCTCTTCAAGCCGCCCCCTCCGCACAACGGGCACATCCAGGAGATCCTCCGGGACAAGATAGTCAACCCCCTCAGACAGTGAGTTGCGGGCCGTGTGCCCCGATCGGCTGAGGCCGCCCTCTTGCGCCCCAGGTGCTCCTTTCTCACCTGCTGGTGCCGTGCGCACGTCTTGCGCAGCCTCGGCTGCCTCCGCCCTGCATCGAATCCTCCATCTTCAGAACTTTGGGGCAAAATAGCCACAAGGCTCTCGGTTAAGCTAATTCAAAGATGCCCAAGTGTGAAGGCTTCTGAGATGGCTTCATCAGGCAAGGCGGGTTTGGTGGGGTGGAGGTGGGGGCTGAATCTGTGGGGGGGGGGGGGCTACTGCGATGGTGATTTCCACTAGATCTGCATGTCCAGAGTCCCAGGAAGGAGCGGTGGCAAATGCACACCGCATGGACTGCTGGCGCCATTTTTTCTTTCCCAGGAACGGCTTCGTCGCTGCGAAGAGCGTGATGGGCCTTCGCCACCAGCTGACCGAGAAGGGGCCGTGCTCCAGCTTTGCCACTTCCGAGAAAGGTGCCTCGCTCCACCCCGTCTTTCCTTCTGGGGCGTCTCTCCTCGCGCAGCTTGCTGTGCGGCAGACGCACCGAGTCTCCACTTGGGCGTGGGGCTGACTGGGAGGCCACGGGCCTCCTCCTCTCTCACCCTCACTCTGCTCGTGATTCCGGTGAGAATAAAGGGAGAAAGTGCCTCAAGGAAGGGCGAGATAAAGGGCCAGTCGAGCACAATCCCTGCTCTGCAAGATGACAAGTGTAGCTTAAAACGCTCCACCTTCGGCTTGCCTTCCTGCTGTGCTCGAGTTCCTCCCAGCCGGCGCTCCGTCTCATCGGTTTGGCGCTCTCATGCTTCACTAGGACGAGTCCTTCCTAGCAAGGGCGGGTGCTTGATATGCCAAGGCAAACCTGTGCCTTCGGTGACCTGGGGTGGGGGAGAAAGAAGACCCCCCCCCCCGTTTCCTGGGCTGACATGGCTGCACTGTCAGTCACGCACAACACTGAGATGGCCCTTCCTCCCTCCCTGGGGGCTCTTCAGGGCGTCCAGCCCTGGCTTGGCTGAGCAGCTGGGAAGACGGCCTGTGCTCCAGGCATTCTCGGTCAGGTCTAACTGGTGGAAGGGGCTAGCCAAGGTGTAGCGCCCCTGCCCCCCCACGGTCATGTTGCCTCTGCAGCCGACCCTGCACGGTCCGCCTGCAGCGTTTGCTGCCCAGAGAAGGGAGCGAGGCCTCGCGGAACCAGTTCTGACGCGCGGCTCCCGTTGCCCTTGCAGATCCTGAGGAGTTTCTGAATCTCATTATGCACCACGTCCTTGGCATGGAGCCACTGCTGAAGCTCCAGTGAGTTGGCTCCCTCCTCACCCCTCTGGAAGCAAGCATACTGCCTGCGCCAGCCCGGGGCCAAGGGGCACCCATCCTGCCTGCTGACGGCAGGGCCCTTGAAGGGGCGGCGGCCTGGCAAGGCAGAGGCAGAGGCAGCGAAGGCCCTGGGGGCACTGTGCCTGGGTCCCCGGCATGCCCAGCTTTGCGGGCTCCCGGGAGCCAGTGAGAGCTGCTGCTTCCCTGGTAGGGGAAACGTGAGAGGAGGCCACAGAGGCCCAGGCCAGCTGGTGACTCTGCTCAGGGCCCGTGCATTAACGTTCGCGTCTTCACGCGCCACCTCTTGTGCGGACTTGAGGTCGAGGTGCCCCGGGGAGGGGAGGGGAAGGGGAGGGAGGCGAAACGGCAAAACCGTGCGTGGGCATCCCCGGCTGGCTGTATAAAAACTGTGAGTGGGAAGCGATGGCCCCTTCCCGGCCCCGGGTGAGGGAGTCTGGCCGCCCCCTGGCCGCGTCCCTGTGGTCCGTTGTGTTGCTCAGGCTGGATGAGGGGAGCCTGAAGGAGCCCCAGTCCCCGTTCCAGGGCTGAATTGCCACAAGCCCTCTCTTTCCGGGGTGGGCTGGAATCGACGGATGACCCCGGGAAGCCGCCTCTTCGCTGCTTTCAGGTCCGGGAAGCTGAAGGAGCAAGACTGCTACTGCTACCAGATCTTCATGGACAAGCAGGAGGACCTGGTGGTGCCCAGCGTGCAGCAGCTGGTCGAGCACTCCTTCCTCTCGTCGGACCTCAAGCTGGTGGAGGTGCGCGGCGAGGGCCGCGGCCGCGTGGCTTTGGGTGCCTGCCGCTGCGCGTGCGCACGCCACGGCTCCGGAGCACTGCCTGGGCATCCGTCGGCGGTGCGGGTGCAGGAGGGGCGATGAGCCAGGCTGCTGCTGCTCTTGCGTGTGCTCACCCCTGCTCAGAATGAAGGGTGCCCCTCCGTGCAGTACCTGCAGTGGGGAAGGCCCCTCGGTTCCAGGGGGCAGAGCGCTTGGGCTCCCCTCCCGACGCCTCAAGGTGGAGGGAAGCCCAGAGGCACCGGAGCCCGCGGCCCTTTGTCCCGCCTCGGGGTTTGCTGGGCCGGTAGAAACTCCTGAACGACCCTGAAAGTCGTTGACTCGCCCCCTCCCTGTTTCTGGAGCAGCGTTGCTTGGAAATTCCCGCCGAGCAACTCGGGTTGTATTCTCATCCAGATTCCATCCTGCTTTATCCTTCAAATGCCTCGTTTTGGGAAGGAGTACAAGATGTTCAGCAAAATCGTCCCTTCCCTGGAGTTGGACATCACGGACCTGCTGCTGGACGGTGAGCCTCCAGGGCAGGGGCGGGCTGTGGCGGGGCGGGAGGTGGCCCAGCGGCCTCACCTGCCTCACCTGTGCGGCGCCCCTTTCCCTAAGCGAGGCACTGCACTAGCGCCATGCAGAGCTGCCGGTGACGCGGGCGGCAAACCGGCCCGGCCGGCTCCGGCCGAGGGGTGGAGGCGCGTCGCTGGCTGAGCTTGAGTAAGCTGCCGGCAGCGTCTCGAGGCGGCTCAGCTCGTCCCCAGCAGGCCCAGGCCTGACTCCGGGCTTCCGCCGCAGGTCCCCGGGAGTGCTTTGTGTGTGGAGGCATCGCCACCTGGGAGTGCTCGGCGTGCTTTAAGGACCGGATGTTCGCGCACACCGGGCTGAAGCAGTACTGCGACTCCTGCTGCGCTCAGGTACTCTTCCTCGGCGGGGTGCCGGGGGCCCCCGGGTCACGCCCATCCCTTGGGAAAGGAGTGCAGCCCCTGCCGGACTGCGCTGGTGGCTGTGTGTGGCCTGCGGGGTGAAGTTACCACACCGCACAAATGCACGCTTCGTGGTCAAAATGCCCAGCTATATTCCGATGTTGCATTGAGCAGAATGGGAGGAAACCCGCCAAGGGCCAAGTGAACTGCTGCAGCCACGCGGGGAGCTGAGCTGAGCTGAGCTGAGCTGAGCAGAGCAGAGCAGAGCAGAGCAGAGCAGAGCAGAGCAGGCAGGCCCCGTTTTCGCCCCTGAGCCACTGCCCTCGTTTCTGCCCCCATCTCGGATCCGGCAGAGAGACTCTCTGGGTTTCGATGCTTGTGCAAGCCGTAAACTTTCCGTTCCCCATTTGGCAGGAGGCAGGATTCTAGAGGAGGTGTTTCCTTCCCAGGAAAGGAGCGTTCCACCCTGAGCACTTTGCTGCCGTCAGCAAGCTCAGCTGCCTCACTCCCGTCCCTAACATCAGCTCATGTATAAACAGGTTAAAGGGTAGCAGCCACAATGCAGTTTCTGGAGCAGGCGGATGGTTCACCACCCTCTGCTGCCGCGAGAACTGTCCACTGGCCCCTTCTGTTCGTCTCACCAGTTAGCAGGCCGTGAGGGGGGGCCTCTCCTGGGGAGTCTTTGGGGAGGAATGTTGTCCAACGATTTTTGGGAGTCCGGATAAGCAGTGCCTGCGGCAGGACCGGCCAGCAGACTCGCCACAGGTGCAAGGTGCGGGTGCCGGGCGCTCCAGGGGCCTGGGAGAGCACATTCTAAGTGGGGGGAGCAGGAACAGCGCCTGCCTGCCCGGTGCCCCGGTCCTCTCCGCTCCCAAGCAGCCCCGTCAGCCCGGGGCCTCGGCGCCTTGTGTCCCCTCGCAGGCTCACTCGCACTACCAGCGGCGGTCCCACCGGCCGACCAGGCTGCGTGTCCCCGAGGAGTTCTGCAGAGCAAGGCGGGCCAGCGGGCTGCAGGTGCCTCGCGAGAAGCTGGAGCTCTTCGCCGTCCTCTGCATCGAGACCAGCCACTACGTCTCCTTCGTGAAGTATGGGCCGGAGATGGGGCACTGGATGTTCTTCGACAGCATGGCGGACCGGCACGGTGAGCTCGGCGGTCGTCACCGTGGTGGCCGCGTCGTGCGTGCCCCCAAGCGTTTGCTGTGCCGGCCACGCCTGGGGGCCTGTGGGCACGGGGCGCGTTTGGCCGAGCGGTGAAGCACCGTTGCAGAATGGCCGCTGCAGCGGCGGGCTCGTCCCGGGGCGACTGCGAGAGGGCCCTGCCGAATCCCGGAGCAGGAGCGGTTGGCTCAGGGGCCCCGAGCACACGGGCAGAGGCCGGGGCCGATGCCCAGCAGGGGGTCGCCAGGCCGGGCCGGCCCTCCGTTGCACAGCAGCACGCAGCTTTCTAGGAAGGGCCAGCCGGTTCATGATCACGCTGCGTTTCTGGAGCGGCTTCTGTTGACACTTCTCTGTGCCAGAGACGGTCCCTATTCCCTTCTGAGTGGTCTCTGCGGCACCTGCAGGAGAAGCTGCCTCGGCCCAGGCAAAGGCCACTGGCCGGAAGGGCCGCCGGGAGAAAGCCGCTCCTTCTCGGTGCCCCGAAAAGCCAGCTTCTGGATCGGTGCGGCCCCTGCTGAGCGGCACCCTCTGCACAAGCGTGTGTAGCTTGTTTGCGTGCCTCGTTGTCTGCCTGCTGCTGCATCCGTTGTGAGAACCGAGCCTCCGCCCTCGGAGTGCTCGGCATTCCAGCCTGCGCGTGCCTGGCCGCTGCACGGCTCCACCAGGCCGGCCGCACACGCGAAAGGGCGGTTTCACGTGAACGCAAACGCGCCGCGCAACCGAGAGGCATCCTTCCCGCCAGCCCTCTTCCCTTTCGTTGGCTTAGGGGACGAGAACGGCTACAACATTCCGAAGGTGTCGCCCTGCCCAGAGGTGGCCAGGTACCTGGAGATGCCAGTGGCCGCTCTGGCCATGGAGCAGCCCCGGGAGATGGGAGTCGCCAAGCGCCTCTTCTGTGACGCCTACATGTACATGTACCAAAGCAAGAAAATGTCGCTCTACAGATGACTCGCGGCCGCTTCATGCCACCAGCAGCTCCACAGAGGGGAAGGGGCTGGGGCTTTTCCACGGCTGTGCATTCCACGCTGTTTGCAGAGGTGCCTTTGGGGTAAGCAGCTCGGGGGGGTGGCATTTGCTTCGGACGGCTGGGGATAGCAGACGGTCTGCCAACGGAAACTTCTCAGCCATGTGGGAACAACATTAACAGAAGAGCATTCCTGCCACGCCCTCTCAGTTCCCACGATTTCCACAGTGAGCCTTCTGCAGGTGTTCCTGGCACGGGGATGTCCCGACCTCCCGTGGAACCGTTCTGGAAAGCAGGCCCGAGGCCTGGCTTTGATGCTGATCCAGGAAGAAGGCTTGCCCACCACTTCCTGCCTTACTTTAAATCCAAAACTCAGCGAGACCCCCTCTTCCTCCTCCTCCCAGTGAGGAGGTGGGAACTTAATGTCTCAGGGAAGCAAGTAGTAACTGTTCCTGCTTTGCACCTTGCACCTTGGCCCCATGGTGCCTCTAATTGCCCTATGCACATGGCAGGCACTTTTGACTTCTGCAGCCCCCAATCTAGATGGCCACCCAGGGGCTTCGGATGGAATCTTGCGATGATCATGTTCCAGACCTGGACGTGCACTTGCACCCGAAGGTGGCGGCCAGGAGAGTGCGCCAGCGCCCGTCCTGAGCACCTGGGGGGCCGAGAGGGGAAGCAGCGCGTGAAGGCGCTTGTCCTGCCCCAGAGCTTGGACAGCGGCCTTAATCCAGGCAAGAGGATCAAGAGAGCCCAGCTCTGGGTTTTGATTTTTCTTCTCCCGGAGGCAGTTTGCCTCTAGGGCAGGGTCTCCTTTGGCGTTTTCTAGATACCACGATTCCCCCACTCAGGTCAGGGGAGGGATTCTTGGCAATTCACCTCTCATCGGTTAGACTGACCTTCTCTTCGAACGGTGGTTCTCTCTTCTCGGCTGGGCTTTGTTATTTCAAGCAATCTCTTGCGTATTAAGTTAACAAAACAGTAATTTAAGGCCCACATATATGCTCCACAAAACAGATTTCCCCCCCACCAAATCAACCCAAACATAGTTTCCATCATTTTCTGCCTAGTAGAGGGTGCAATAAAATTACGGTGAAGAGGGAAAAGTGCCTTATGCACGTGGCCACAAGCGGTAGTTTGGGGATAGCGCTTCTTCCTGCTATTTCCCTAAAACGCCTCAGAAATTATACGCAGTGTAGGTACTCCATCCCTTTTCAGAGCCACTGCTTTGGGAAGAGAAACGGTGTAGCAGTGAGATCCAAAGATTGCCTGCCTGCCTTTTGGGCTCCTAGAAGCTGGAAACTTGGCACAATTAATGCAAGTTATGCTTATTTGGTAGCAGATTGGGTGTCCTTGCGACTGTCCCATTTCATTGAGATGACGAGCAATTGGAATTCTGCAATAATTCTAGAATCTTGCTGGTCAGTTTTGCTGTGTAATGATTCTGTTTCTCTACAGTATTTGCTGTCTGTCTCAATTTGAACAAGGACTGCCCCAAACTGAGTTATTAAACTTGGTGTCTGCATTGGTACTGCTACTTTTTCCTCTCTGTAACTTATTTGATAACGGCTGCCTTGAACGATCTCAGAACAGAAGATGCGTTTGTGGGCTTTATGATGCTTAGTTTCCCTTTCTGAAAACGGTCTTTCAGCTGAGCATTTCTTTCTGAGCCGTGTGTCTCTTTTCTAACAAATGTCTCTCACAAGCCCCATTAAGTGGCTGGCTTTGTCGCGTTCCTGGTAGTTTTGGCCACAGCTGGGTGCAGGGAAGGGGAGGCAGGGCGTGGGTCCGCTGCCCCCGGTCATTTCTCTGCCAGTGTGATTTTATTCCTGCAGAGGGTCCATACACGATCTGGTGCCTTGGCCCTTCCGTCTTGGGCGGCCCTGCGCCAGTGACTGTTTTCTGGCCTCCTGGCGGCATTGCTCTTGGTTCCCTTGATGGCCTCAAACCTCCGCACCAAATTAGGTGTGCCTCCAAGAGGGGGAAGATTGCAGCACAATCACAATGTACGGGTGTGAAAGTTGGACAGTGAAGAAAACCGACAGAAAGAAAACGGATGTGTTTGAAACGTGGTGCTGGAGGAGAGCTTTGCAGATGCCTGGAGCTGACAGACAGACACTCTCAAATCAAGCCAGGGCTTTCCTTAGAAGCAACAATGAGAAAACTGAGGCTGCCCCACTTTGGGCTCATCCTGAGAAGGCGAGCCCCCCAACCCCACCCCTCCCAGGAAGACCATCATGCCAGGGAAGGCGGAAGATGGGATGTTATGGCACATGCCAAGGGCCATTTCTACTATGCTGCATTCAGTGTGCGGACAAAGGCACACGAGGGCAGAATATACCAAGCCTGTGCAGCTGGAGCCCAGAACACCACAGGCAGACCCACATCCCGGAGGCAGGCACTGGCCGTGAGACGCAAAGTGCATCAGCAGCCACACCTGGTGGCTGCGGAGCTGCAGGTGAGCGGGCGGGAGCAGGACAGTTCTGTCAATCACGGCAGTGCGACGGAAGTGGAATTGCTCGGGGCAGGACCCCCACCCCAAACCCAAAACAGAACTGCAGGCAAACAGTTTCATGTATAAATACTGGCTAAATAGATTTATTTTCATACAAAGTATATGTGGGTCCCTCTCCAGGACGGCACTGGAGGGGGGACCTGATCTCCTTGCAACAGAGCTGGTGCACCTGCCGACTTGCTTGTGCTTCTGAAGTTCTCCCTGGACGGATCTCCCCTGCTGTACACCCACAGCCACCCCTCCTCCCTCCCTCCCTGAACTCTTTTCTGCTCAGCCCGGGTCCCGAACAGGAGTGGCACGCTCTCAACCTCCCGGCAGGTGTGCCTCCTGCCAGCAGGTCAACCGCTTTCCGAGGCTTCCCTCCCCGGCCAAGGTAGCGTTCGACCTGCCTGTGCCGACGAGCAAGGCGATGCCCAGGCGCAACGCAGGGATGGGGGCGACTGCAGTTCATGGCTCCGCAGGCATCTCCGCGAGGGAGCCGCTCACTTGTGCCTCCGCTCAGATGCAGAGACGCAAATCAAAGTCACTGGCGGTGTGCTGGAAACGAGCAGAGCGCGTCATCGGGGTTACCCAGAAACAGAAGGTGCCCCTTTAGCGAGGCTGAGGCAGGACTCGGTCTCCGTCCTGGCTGGCGGCAAAGCGCCCGGCCCAGCCCAGGCACCATGCCCCGGCCTTCCACCCCAGAGACCTCTTCCGGGCAGTTGTCTTTCAGTGGTGGTCATAAAGGGGCGGGGTGGACCTCCCACTTGCTTTGGGGGCGTGGCTGAAGGAATGACTTCAAGGCCCATCGTGGCCAGTTTCAGTCCCGCTCGCTTCAAAGCTGCAGGGGTCTGCAGAGCTGTAACCGGAAAGCGTCTTTTGTGTGGGCAGGTGCTGGCTAGCGGCAGCTCTACTTCCGCCACGGGCCCCATGGAGAAGAGGCAGCGCTCGCTGCAAGAACGGCCCAGTGAGGCTGCAGCTCTCCAGTGATGGGATCCCCCTCCCCGCCACCATCGCAGCGGCTCTCGGCTCCCCGGGATGTAGCTGCGCAGCTTTGCGTAGGCCTCTGTGAGTGATTGTAAACGGTCAGGGGTGGCACTGCCGATGCCCGAATGAGGATCTGCATATCCACTTGGGTGGCATCCGAAACACTGAGCTCCGCGGGAGGGGATAAGGCATTGTGTGGAGTCTTCGTGTTTGCGCAAGGGCCTTTCGGCCTCTTTCGCTGCGGAGGTTTTCCCAGGACTCCAAAGCTTATTTCTGCATCAGCAATGGGCCTTTTTTCCCAATAGTGGCAGGTGAGATTTTAACCCACTCACGTCTCTGCATTTGTGGCTGCAAAGTTTACCACCACATAGTAAGGGCTGTTTCTCGGTGACTCTGCCACCGGCTTCTGGAAAGGGTGAAGGCAGGCATTTCGGCTTCTTCCCTGGCCCTTTTCCTCTTTCCAACTCACATGTTCCCAACACTTCACGGTCGTTTGGTTTTGCATAGTCCCTGGAGGTACTAAATGTTGCCCTTTAAAACTGCCACCTCTCAGTTTGTGTGGTGTGCCTCACAACAGCGAGCAGAGTGCCCTCCTCCTTGCTCCGTTTTTCTCCTGGTTTGCTAGAAGGGATTTGCTCAGGAGGGCAAAAGCGCCTGCTTCGAAATCATTCTCGCTTCTTCCCGGCCCCAGTCTGCAATTCCTGCTTTGCTCAGTGCAGCGATTCTTTCCTCACCTGACCGCACCTTTCCTGGAACGTTTCCTGTGCAAACATCACTGGCACAAATGGAGCCCTTTAATGCTGCCTTCCGTTAAGGCCGGCTGCCACTTCGGACCGCTTTGCTGTTTGCACACATGGGCCTTGACCCCTCTGCAGACGCTTGTGTCCGGAAGCGGGCCGCTCTTCTCGCTCACTGCTGGCAGCACAAGGAGGCCGCCTCGTCGCTTCCACAGGCCTCCCCGTTGCTGCCGAGGTTGCACTCCCCTGAAGCCAGCACCGGTTTTCCCCGCAGCTGGAGGTCCGTCCTGGTGCTTTGCGTTCCGCTGGGCCAGTGCTGGAGTCGCCTCTATTTCAGTCCCACTGTACCAAATTTCTCCCAGCGTCTTGCTTTGTTTGGAAGCCATCCAAATGATGCAATCGGGGTGCAAGATAGAAGGCTTTTCCTAAAACTGACTCTCTTACAAACCTGATTCTACTGCAAGGAGTTGGGGGAAAAAGAAGGCACCAGATAAAACTTGGATGCTTCGGCTGGGTAGCCTACTCAGGGCCACGGATCCCTTCAGAGATTTTAAAACTGGCTAAGCTGCATGGTTCTGAATGCTGCCTCTGCAACCGATTCTCAAAATGTGAAATTGATTGGGTTGGAGCCAGAGACACCCTTCCTTTGATGGAGGGACTTGTGTAACAAGAAAGGCCTCTTTCTAAGTAGCAACACGAGAATACAGAGCAAGTTCTGTTGAGGTGAAGGCAAGGAAGGGAGGAGAGGGAAAGCGCCCAGGGTGCCAAAGCAAGGCAGCCAGGGCCTTGCCGGTCCTGCTTGCATGGCTGGACGGCTTGTTAGCCCAAATGGGGAATGTGTGATCTGCTGACATTGCGCAGCTTTGGAATGGAAAAATGCGCAGTTAAGGGGTGTCCTGCCCTTCACCTGTCCTTATCTTGGCGCCTGGACCTCACTGGGCCTGGTGGCATCTTTTCTGGCCGCAGGGCAGCCCCGTGTGACCCACCGGAACATTAACCCACAGGTGACTCCCAGCTCTGGTGATGCTTCTGCCATCTCACCAGCTGCTGTTTCCTTGCCAGAAAATGACTTCTCTCAAAGGTCGTGACTGCCGAGTTTCCATTCTGAGTGGCCACCACGATGAGAGGTGAAGCAAGAGGAGGGCTTTTTCATGGGAAACACTGCAGAATTCCAAAGCTAAGGGAGTCTTGACCGCATTGGAGAAAAGTCCTGTCTTGGGCTGCCGCAGCCTCAGTGGTCCCCTTCGAGGCTCCGCCAACAGAGCATCAGTTTGGTTTCTAGCCAAGTGTTTCAGTGGGACATCTCTCTTCGCAGGAATTTTGCACTTCCCTACCCTTCTATCTTTAGAAGATGCTGGTAAAAAGCAAGCCTTTCAAACTGAGAGGGAACACCGGGATTTATGGTTCTGGTCCTCACAGCGGTGGCACTGGGAATGTGGCCACTACCTTAAATCAACCCCTCTTCCTGTGGCTGTGAGACGCCTGACTCCCCAACACCCTGAGCGCATGATCTATAGGGAAATGTTGTCTTAGGAAAGGCAGCTGTGGGGGAGGAGACATCTCTACAATAAATAAATAAATAAGCAAGCCCCACTGCCCACTCAGCCGGATCAGCCGTTGGGGCAGGTGGCCGAGGGTTTGGGCAGCTGCTTCAGAACTTGTGCTAAAAGAGGGAAAGGACAGAGCGGTGCTGCTGGACGCAGGAAGATGTGTCTGGCAGAGCGGACTGGGGTTCTGCTTTCCTCCAAGGAATGTGGTGCCTTCACCCTGGGCCTCTTCAGCCTCGTGATTCTCGCTCCCACTCAGCTGCCTCGTGTGTGCTGGCCACCCGGCGGACCTTCCTCGCTCGGCTGTCCTCGCGCAGACCCGTGCACGCCAGCTGCCAGGTGCTTGGCCTCTTCCCCACCAGCTCTTGCAGGCCAGGCGGGAGAAGACTCTCCGAAGGAGCACTCAAGGCGCTGGCACCAGCTGGAGGTGCAGCCAGGGGAGGGGGGCAATTCAGGTAAAAAGCAGAGAGGGCTGCCTCTTCCACCCACGAGGAAGGTCAATGCAGTGGACTAAAACGGAGCGCGACAAAACTTTCCCATGACACGGTTCGCAGCGGAGGTGTGCAGCGGGGCCTGTGGGAACCGCACGGCCATCATCCCAGGCTGCTCGCACAGCGGGGGAACGGCCAGGGACGCACCGGGCTCCTGCTTCCCAGCACTGCGGCACAGCACCCTGCTGCCGTCACCTCAGCTGCCCACCCCTGCCCCACCACCGCGGTGGCAGCTGGGCCGGCAGCCGGGACCCGGGTGCAGTCTCAGCAGCAGGCAGAATCCAAGGCCTCCGTCGGGTGTGGTGGGGAGAGGAGGGAAGCCACGCCAGGCTCCCCCGAATTGGAGGCACGCGGAAGCGCGCACCTCGCTTCAGTTGCGCTTGTTGGCCAGCTGCCGGTCTCGTTTCTTCTTCTCCATCAGCCTACGTTGGGGAGAAACAGGCTTTAGGCTATGGAGAGCAGCAACCACCCCGAGCCCTCCCCGCAGCAGCTAAAGGCACGTTTGCAGCAGAACGGGGTGCAAGCGATGCCCACCCAGCCCGGGCAACAGAGTAACCCACACTTGTTTAACAAAGCAAAACTGAGCCGGCTCGCTGGCTCCCAGCTGCTCCCCTTCTCCCGCTGCGGCAGCCCAGGGATCTTGGGTTGTTCAGCACGACGAGCAAGCTGGGGATTGCGGATGTTGGAAGAAGAACAATCCAGAGCTGAACCTGTGCTTTCACCTGGATTGTTCAGCAGGGCAGGCGCCAGAGCACATGCCACCAAAGAACGCACGGCTCCCGTTATCCGAACCTGGCTGCGTTTTCATACTGCAGCCCCTCTTGTGTTTTGGGTGGTGTCTGGTGCGTCTCCAACAAAGAGGAGAAGCTTCTTCCAGTCTGCTTAGAAACGAGGGGGGGACTGGCTAAGCCCAGGGCTGGAGGGCCTCCGGGGGCGGGACGCTTCTTCCAGGCTGACAGAAGCCCATCGGCTCCACTCACTTCCGGTTGCGCACTTCCGTCAGTTCCATGAGCCGCTCCTGCGCCGCCCGCAGTTCGTCCAGCCGCTGCTGATAGCGCAAGTCACAATTGTTGTTGTGCTCGAAGCTGGACACCTGGTTCGAGAGCTCGCTGGCCCGGTCACGCAGCTGCTGGATGGAGGAGTACAGGTTCTCGTCGTCTTCTTCCTGCGACACGTAGAAGAGACGCATGGGTGGGGGTGCAGAAGCCTGTGCTCGCTTCCAGCTTCTCCAGCGGCTTTCTAAGCGATGCTCTCGCAATGCATTGTTCACCGTGTGGTGAGGGCGGGCGGCCCCGCGCAACCCCCGACCACGAGGCTTCTTCCCCCGGCCCCTCTTTCGGACCGTCTCTGTTGGCAGAAGCAGGCACTCGTAGTTCAAGCTGCTCACGTTACGGACACGGCACTGCGTAGGCTGCCGATCCTATTCCCACGTTCAGCACCAAAGCAAACGGGTTGGGATCAGAGCGCATTTGGCTGCCTGACTGACGGAGCACCTGAAACAGGCGATGGGCTGAATCTGCCGGGAGGCTGTCCCAGCAAGGAGAACAGCTTAGTTCACCCAAAGCGCGAGGAGGGCAGGAGGGGTGACGAGCAAGCTGAGAGAGAGAGGGAGAACACTGAGAGCCGGTGTGGCGTCGTGGTGAAGAGCGCGGGACTAGGACTCAGGCGATCCGGGTTCCAGTCCCCGCTCAGCCATGGAGCCCACTGGGTGACTGGGCCAGTCACAGACTCTCAGCCCAACCTGCCTCACAGGGGTGTTGTTGTGGGGACAAGATGGAGGAGGAGATGTAAGCTGCCTTGAGCCCTTTGCAGGAAAAAGGCAGGATATAAATCGGAAAAAGAAAAAAAGAAAGAACGAGGGGCGAAAGCGATGCCAAGCTGACCTTACTTTCTGGGGCAACATGGAGCCTAATGGAAGAAACTGGTTTTTGGGAGAACGATTGCGATCGTCTTTCAGCAGAGAGTGGCGGGTGCTGGACTCCGCGGGCACGTCCCTACCTTGGCATTCACGATTTCGATGTGCAGCAGCAGAGAAGCCAGCTCAAGGTCCTCGCTGTAGCTGTTCTTCAGGGGCACCGACCTGTAACCTGCGGGCGGGAGAGGAACTTTCGCTTGAGGGAAGGCAGAGCCCACGCCCCCTCCGTCGGGACGCTGAACAGCAGCGAGGGCCTGAGGGGCCTCTCAGTCCCGGACACCTGGCTACCTAGAGCACTTTCATTAAGCCTGCTCACAAGTTATTACAGTTGTTAAACTTGCTCATTTATGGGAATCACCATGAAGAGCAGGTGAGAAGAGGTGGGGCCTCTTACACATGGCAGCTGTTTAAATAACAGAAAGCAGAGGTGGTGCAAGCAGGCAAGCCACAGAGTGGAAGCACAGAGAGAGCACGAGTCGGGCGGGCCCTCCCGGGCCATCTAGTCTGACCCCGGCTCCAGCCGGCTCCGCTCACAACATGCCCACCATGTGCACGTCCAGCCTGTCCTTGGACACCCGCACCGATGGGGCCTCAACCACCTCCCGTGGAAGCCCCTTCCATGCCCTCGGGGTCCTGACTGTCAGGAAGTGCTTCCTGGCATCCCAACTGAATCTTGGTCCCAAGAGGGGTTTCCACCAGAATCTCTCCTGGCACGGGGGCTATTCAACGATCACAGAAGATAGGAGGGGGGTCGGCTTCCTGAAGGAAGCGGCAGCCTTGGATGTGCAGGAGCTGCCATGGGTGGGACATCTTGGAGGGTCCGTCCTGCCCACTGGCTTCCTGAGGCGCTGGCTGGCCACTGGGACAGACAGACACGAGGCTGGCCAGCAGCTCTCCTGCGACCCCCCAGAAGGAACTTGGTGGGAGCACTAAACAGCACCGCTGCCTCCCGGGATCAGCCGAGGGCCCGTCGAGTTTACTCCTCTCCCTCCGATGGCGACCGATCGGACAGCAAGGTGGGTCACCCAAAAAGGACCCCCCGCACCACGGATCGTCTCTGCCACTTCCACGCACCGTCGGCCAAGGGGGCCGAAGGAGAGAGCACCCACCAGCCCCGTTCTCCTCGCCGTGCCCCCCCCCCCCGTGCCCGGGAGGGCAATCGGCCAGGGTGGGTTTGTGGGGAGGGGCGTGGCCCATACCTGTCTTGAGGCCCTTGACGGGGAAGGTGGCCTGGGCCAAGAAGTTGGGGTCACTGAACATGTCCTCCTCGTAGACCACAAAGCGCAGGAAGGCAAACTCGGGGTTGTTGATGTCAAAGACAAACTGCTTGTTGAGCCAGACCGGGCTGAGGCCGTTGTCGGCTGTGGGGAGAGCGGGCAGGAGGGCGAGTCAAGCCGGGGTGGCCGGCTGCCCCGCAGGCAAGGCCGAAGGGGGGGCTCTCCAGGGGGCGAGGCTCCCGGGCGAGCTGCAGGGGGCACCGGCGCACGAAGACTCCTTCCCCTGCCCGGGCGCGTGCGGCGGCCCACGTGCGTCTCGGCCGTAGCGCTTCAGGGCCACGCTGCTCCTCGGCGGAAGAAGCCCCCCTGCCCGCGGCACACGGGCGGCTCGGCCAGAACTCTCCCCGGGAGGCGAGTTTTCCGTTCTGGGGGCTATCAATTATTTTTTTGGGGAGGGGAACCACACGGGAGCCACGGCCCGCGGGCTGAAGCGGTGCGACCCAAATGCAGGGGGCAACGGCGAGACCAAGGCCTTTGTCTGCCTCTCCCCTTCGGCCCCGGCTGCCTCGGCCGAGAGAGCCCCAACCCCTGCCCAAAGGACAGAGGCGCCCCTGTGCCACAGCACGTTGCAGGCAGGGTGGGCAGCACGCCAGGAAGCCGCGGGCGACCAGGAGGTCTTGTGCAGTGTGCTTCCCGGGAGTGTTCTGGAAGGCCCAATTTCCCGTGGACCAGCGTGCCGATAGGCGCGTGCCGCGGAACCGGCCCAGACGGACCCCGGGCGGGGCACAAGGCCCCCCGCGTTGGCAGTGTGGGTGGCTGGTGCCCCCCTTCCTTTCGCCCACCCACAGCACCCACCTCCCAGGAAGGGTCGCCTGGAAGACGAACGACTGACATCTTATTTGGGGAAGTACAAAGCATGGAAACCGGCAGCCCGTGGCGACTGGGGGGGCGACCGGGCAGAGGGAGTCCCGTGCGCTGGGGGACGGTTGTTGAGAGGAGGGGGCCTTGCTTGACGAGGGAGGAGGAGACGTCTCCTGCTCGGGGACGCACCGGGCGCTCACCTACGACATCCGTCTTGCTTTTGCTGTTGTCGAACTCCGAGCCACAGACCTCGACCTCCACGAAGGGGCAGACGATGCTGCGGCCGTTCTTGGGGAGGTGTCGGGCCCCGAGGATCTGCGGGGAGGAAGGCTGCGCTGGACTAGGGCTCGCCAAGGACACCGCGGGGTCCCTGGGCGGGAAAAGGGCACGGGCCACGGCGGCCTCTGGTCCCCCGGGGCACCCCAAGATCACTCGCCTGCAGCTGCACGGTGATGGGCTCCACGTGCTTCAGGCTATTCTTGTCGAAGGGGTCGAAAAGGTCGTCTCGCATGATGTCGGGCTGCAGGACGTATCCACTGTGCCCGCCCAGCGTGAACAGCGACTGGTTCAGCTGCATCGGCTTGTCTGGAAGCGCAAGAGCCCAAGGATACTTACCTGCCCGTGCCTCGAGGCCGGGGGCCTCAACCTTTTGCAGCGGGGGACAGGTGGCTGGGTTGCTCGTGAGGAGATCATTCCTCTGAGCTAATCCAAACCGACCTACACGAGAGCGAGCCGCGTGCCTGCGCATGCATGCGCACAGCGAGTGCACAACCTCTGGCGCAGGCCGGTTAACTGGGCATGGCGGGCAAGATCCGCTCAAGACCACCTGCGGAGGTCCTGCTCTGGGAGCCGCCCTTAAAGGATGTAAAAGGGAAGGGCCTTTTTCGTGCCAGCACCCTGTTTATGGAATTTGCTCCCCTGAGAAATACGCCTGGCACCAACACCGTACATGTTCCGACACCATGCAAACCCTTTTTCTTCTCTCAGCATTTTAACGTCTAAGCGATGCATTATGGAACGCGCTCCCCAGAGAGGCCCGCCTGGCGTCGACATCAAATGCTTCTCAGCGCCAGGTCAAGGCCTTCCCATTCACCGCCCTCAGCTTGCCAAGGGACGTCCCTGCTGCCCGAGACGGCCGGCCCCGTCGGAAGTGCGCCCTGCCGGCCACCCTGCGGCCAGTCCAGCCAGGCCGGTCACGGGACCCCTCCCTCGAAGGCGCGTGAGTGCCCCCGCCGCCCGAGAGGAGGGCCGGGCGGCTTACCAGGCGTCTGGAAGTTCAGGGCGACCAGCTGGCTGCCACAGATCCACATGGGCAGCGGGTCGTAGTTGGAGGAGTCCAGGCGCTGCCCCTTGGGGTAGATGCGGCTCAGCTGCCGGCGGTTGTACTGCAGGAACCGCTTGCCCTTGCTGCGGTTGGCGTACTTCTCGGCCTTGGTCTCGGGGAAGGAGGACATGTCGCGGTAGCACGCCTTCTCCGTGCCGATCTCTGGGGGGACAGGCGGCCGGGCTTGGTGCTCGGGGCAGATGACCACGGGACCAAGGGCAGAGCTGCACAGCGCCGGGGGCACGGAGGGAGCGGGCGCAGACCGGGCCTCCCCTGGGCCCTCACACGCGGGGGCCCGAGCCAGGCCGACGGCTCGGCAGTCCCCGGGGCCACCGCTCTGCCGAAGCTAAGCAGGGCAGGGCGCCCCCCCATATCCATCTCCAGCTGAGCAGCGCGCGTCCCGCGAGGGCCCAGAGCCGGGGGTCCAGGGCGAGGCAGGACTGGCCCTCGATTGCTCCTGGCCGGACCCATGCCAGCAGGCCCCAGGGCAGGGGGCGGGCATGAAGCCAGTTCAGTGTGACCCCGAACCGCAACACGGGGAAATGGCCACTAGCCACTGCTCCCATTAAGACCCCGAAGCTTGGGAAAAAGCCTGGTCTGAACTTGGGGCCAGAACGAAGCCAGTGCTTGGGGTGCCACAGCCAAGCTTGGGGTGCCCCATAAATGGGTTGCCCAGGCACTCCGCTGTGTGGCGACCCCGTGAATGAAATGCTCCCTCCCCGTGGCCCCGCTCAGCTCGTGCAACGCAAGGCAGTGGCACCCCTTGTGGACGCCACCCCTCCCCTATAAATTCCCGTAAAGGCACGGCTCCCACGACCGGGACGAGGCAGGGAGCCCCGGCGGGAGAGCTGGAGGCCCTGTGGCAGGGGCGCTCCCTCGGATGGCGCCCCGAAGCGTTTCAGACTGCGGAGGCCCCCTCTGGTTTGCAGGGCCGGCGGGACTCACTCTCCTCGTCGAAGGGCACCGGGCGGCAGTAGACCACCAGCTCGGACAGCTCCAGGGCGATCTTCTTTCTCCGCTCCATGATCTTGCCCTCCTGCATCTGCACCGGGGCAAAAGTCGGAGTGACCTCGAGAACTCCCAGCCCCTCTCTCTCTCTCACACACATGCGGAGACACGCTCTGCACACGCTCAGCCTAGAAATTCCACCTCCCCCCGTCTGGGGAATTACTCATAGATCCTCCGTATTGCTGCTTCTTCCACGGAGAGCCAGGCAGTTTGCTCGCTGCCACATGCCTGATCATCCGAGCCAAGCAGGTGGGCAGGCCGGAAGCGACGCATCGGCTCACGCGCAGACGCATAACTGAGCCTGCGCCCAGGCTGCGAAAGGCAGTGCAGGGTAGGGCAATCCACAGGTGTCCCTGGCTGGGCGCGCTGCCCATGCCCACCCTCCCGGTAAGCCACGTAGGAAGCCGCTGGGACAGCCCCCCTCTCTGCAGCACACGCGCTCCGGAGGAGATCCCACTGCTCAGCAAGCCTTCTCCAAAGAGCGGCTTCCGTTGAATCCCATTTCCACGGATCCTCGGATCCTCCCGCTGCTTTCCCGCCCCTCCCGTCTTCCTTCCCTGCCCCTCCGGAGACCCCATGAGGAGCCCCGACCCGGCTTGGGACTCACCCTGGCGTCCGCGTTCTGCGTGGCCTCCCGGATTTTGGCCACCCAGTCATGGAGCTCCTCCTGGGTGTCAGTGGCGACGTCCAGCGACTGGGATGGGTGGGTCATCTGCTGGGAATGGATGGTGAAGACAAATGGTTTGGAGCTCCTCCCGTCTTTGGCGATAACTACAAGGACACCAGAGGGCAGCTTTACTGGACGAGGCTCCCAGCGCGGCCACCCAGCCGCTCCTGCTCACCGGGTTGGGGGCTGGCCAGGGAGCAGGGGCGGCTGGCACGGTGGGCTCGGCCTGGGCTGCGGCTCTTCCCCTCCACGGAGGAGGGCCACCCCAGAGCCCCTCGGAGCGGGGCGCAGGAGCCGCGGTTTCAGCAGGCGCTGCTGCCTGCACGGAGTTCCCTCCCACCTCTCCCCTCTGGAAGGTCTTTCGAGCCCCCGGGGTGGGGAGGGGCTGTCCAGGGGCAACCTTCTTGTTCTCACGTGCATTTCGTTCAGGGGAGGGGCAGTTCCTTGGGAAAATGACTGGAGGCATTTATAAAGTGGGAAGCGCTCGTTTTTATTTTAGGTAGTATTCCTAGAATGTGGTTTTTTGATTCGGACAACCTCCTGGATGGATGTTTTCTGGCTTCTGTATAGAAGCACTTCTGGACGCTGAGCAAATGTTTCTCAGACACTTTTGGGCCTTGCCCTTATGCTCCACTTCCAAGACTTCCGGGGCAACCGAGCCCGATCCTGGTTCCATCCTGCGTGCCCCGTATCCCCTCGCCTCTTGCTGTGGATGGGTGCACTTTTCCGAACACCGAGCGGGACTTTTCCGGGCTCCATCCTCACGACCACTAGAATCCCCAGCTGGGGAACCCTGTTACGGCCAGGCAGCCCCTCGTCCTAATTCGGGGGAGCGGATGCGGCAAGCAGGGAGCCGTGGCACCGCCTGCCACTCCCGGGCCCACGAAGGCGGCGCCTCTGCGGGGGCACTCCTGCAAAAGTGCTTTGCTGGATCGAGCAAGGTTCATCCACCACAGCATTCTCTGCAAGAACCCCGCGCAGAATCTGCGCTCCGGTCTGCCCGCAGCCCCCCCCACCGCGTCGCAGCACAGAAGTAGCCCGGGGGACGTGACTCTCTGCCCACGCTCTCCCGGCGATGCCTGCACAATCTGCCCCTTTTTCCCATGCAGCGTTCTCATCAGGAAACCTCCGTCCCAGCCGTGGGGTTGGCTTGGCCGTTCCGGTTTTTGCGCGCATGGGGCCATCCGAGTTTCAAAGAATGACGACGGCAGAACGCCAGAGAGCAGGACACGGAACGATGGGCTCACGTGACAGGAAGCCAAATGCTGGCTGGCCATCAGGAGGTGGTGGGCGCTCCCAGCTGGGAGGCAGCTGGGCAGCCGGCTGAGCGGGGCGGCTGCACTGGGAGTCCAGCCATGTTGGGAGTGCCTGGAGATCTCCACGCTGTTATTTCTCCTTTCCTGCTGGACTTATTCTTGATTCGTGTTTGTTGCACTATTTCTTTCCCGGCTGCTGTTTTTTAAATAAATTGGCTTTTCCCTGTGGTTTTTCAAATGGCTCTCTTGCATTTTATGACTCACATGCACGTGAGCTCCACACAGAGGATTCAGGTTTGGCAGGGGATGCTCAGCAAGCGAGCGTGGGCCGCGGTCCATGCCCAAGAGGACCCCCTCCACCTCCAGAGCAGTTCTCGCAAGGACTCACCCACGTGGCAGGAGGGGACATCAATGAATCCTTTCAGGAAGTTGCCCAGCGGGCTGTTTTCCACCGACTGGAAGACAGAGAGAAAGAGAGGGGGGGAAGAGGGAGAGAGAAAAGCTGGTGCAACGCGTCTGGAGGAAAGGAAAGAGGCGAGGTGACCTAGTGAGGGACCGGGAGCACGCGGGTCGGGGGATCTGTAGCACCTTTGGGTTCTCCTGTTGCATCCCCCAAATGCAGAAGGAGCTGTTCTGCATTTACTTAACATTAATGACTCCACAGCAATCAATGGGCATAAAAGCGATTGAACAGGGACAGGCGAGAAATGTTAACTGGTTAATCGATTTAAGCAATCAAAGTGCTAAATGGAGGTTCCAGGAGAGTACAAGTTAATCAAGACATTCATTAGCCTTGCGGAACAGCATCGCAGAACAGGGATCGCCATGTCCCCCGCCCTAATTGCCTTCGTGGGGATGGCAAGCCCTATTCTGCCCGCAGGAAGCCCCTTCTGCCATCCGCTGCCGTTCACCCACACAGCCGGCTGCCTGCCGTGGCCCCTTCGGCGCCCAGTGGAAGCGGCTTCTCCGCAGCGCAACCTGCCTTGGTTACACTGGGGAGCTGGGAGTTCCGGGCAGAGCTGGAAAACCTCAGGGGAAGGGGAAGGGGAAGGGGAAGGAGAAGGGGTAGCTTTGGGAGACAGCCGGGGGCTGAAATGGGCTGCTGCTCAGGTCTGGAATGAGGGTTTCTGCACCCTTTTGACAGCTAGAAGATTTGGATAAAGGACGCTGCAACACGAGTGAAACTTTTCCCAGGTACTTCTGTGGGGACTCCACAGCCAGAGGATTTCTGAATCGTTCTTTTCAAAATGACACATTTCCTTTCAGTTCAAAAGAGCGATATTCACTCACATTATTGGATTTCAATAAATCCAAGGCGTATCTTGAGGACTAGCAGCCTACAGAATCTTCTGGGCTAGCATTTGGGAGAAGACCTTTCGATAACCAGGCATTGTCATGCAATGGTTCCTGAGCCCTCTTGGCAGCCCTGGCTCACACACAGACAATTTGAACCGTTGCAGGTTCTCCCTCCCCAAGCACAAAACATTTCACGGTCTCACGTGCATGGTAGCAAATACACGGCACCCTGAACCAGAAAGGTCAAGTCGGCAGCCGAGTTGCAGCAACTTCGCCACACGGCAGAGGATTCTCCGCAGGCCCACCAGTGAAAATGGCAGCCAGCGGATCGTGTCAAAACCGCAGAGTTATGACCCAAGTGATGCACAGGACGAGGATTTAAAATGAGAAATTTGGGTTGGTGGGAGGGGAGGGGAGGGCTGGGCTGCCCCCTTCCCTGGCGCTGGAGGGAAGGCAGAGGTGAACTTACGGCCTCATCCTGTTCGGGTGCCGAGTTCATGATCTCCTCCACATAGTTGGCGGGGAACCAGAGCTGCTTCTTGCCCCCGTAGTCTCCACGCCACCTGGAAGGGGTGACAGGATCAAGGCAAGTGCAGTGGCCTGGGGGGCTCTTGGGGGCCGAAACGGCGCGCAGGGCGGGGACCGTCGGGTGGGAGAACGGGAAAGGCGCTGTCAAGGGGTGACAACGTGGCTCCAGGAGAACACCCTGTGGGGGAAGCGGCGTTCCTCGGGGGAGGCACCGGGCTGGCTCCCCTGGCCTTCCCTGCACGGCAGGAGTCCGTGCCACGACGGGTCTGGTCAAAGAAGGGAGAGGCCGGCGGGTGGAACAGCGAAGCCCCGGCTGCACTCACGCGGCAGCTTCTTTATTTACTCAGTTAAAGCTTTTCTATACCGTCCTCTTACCCAAAGACTCAGGATGGGCTTCCAACAAAGCAAAGCACAGCACAGCATCATCTTCTATAGAACCAATTAAAATAACCATTTAAAGCTTAAAATACTGGGAAAATAAAAAGGTTTAGGCCTGGCGCTGAAAAGAATAAAGTGCCAGGGGAACCTCACAGGGGAGTGTATTGCATAATCAGGGTGCCACCGCAGAGAAGGCCCTTCTCCGGGCGGTCATGCTCCTGATCTCCTTCAAAGAAGAACGCTTAATCTGGCTCGCAAGGGTTTTCGTTCTCCCAGGGGAACTCCGTGGTCAAGGCTCGGACACCAGGCTCACCGAGCGGTCTTGTCCCGCTTCCTCGTCCCCGCCAGTCCCGTATGCGCCTTCCTCGTCCTGTTCCCAGGCAGGGAGCAGTCCCCGCGGTTTCTCACCTGACCTGGCCACGCTGCAGGCCCTGCTGGGCAGAGCTTGCTCCCAACGCGGAAATTTGCCGAGCTTTTGCGGCTGCCGAGGGGAGGCTTCCTTCCGAATTCCGCGGACTCACCATCCTCCGTCCTGCTTGTCGACGTTGTGAATAATGGCCTGCTTGCAGAAGGAGAGCTCGTCTTCCCGCTGGGCCTTGTAGTCATACAGGGCCTTCACTGTGCACTGCAAAGGCAGAGATGAGCTGGAGTGATGCCCCCGAAATGTTGTGTCACGGGAGCCTGGCCTGCAGACTGAGCATCCTGCAGCTCAGCTCAGCTCGCTCTCCTGTCCCTGCTGCACCGGTTGCACAAGGACCTGGAGTGCTAATTCTTCCAAGGACGGAGATGAGCAGGAGAGGCGGTTGGGATACGCTGCAAGGAAAGCTAATTACAAGGGCGGACCAAGGAACCGGGAGGCTCCTGAAGTCTCATTTCTACTGACCACTGCGAGACCTGCCTGACCGGCCCACTTGTGGGATGACCACGTGAGGGATCCGCTCCACCAGGGTCCTGAAGCTTCCTGAGGAAACGAAGAAGGGACTCGGTGGAGCGAGCCCTCCTCATTTGGGGGTCTCCCTGCTCCACTCCAGCTTATCACTTACAATGCTTAAGTTATGCTCAGGGAACGGGTTTCTGCTCCCCATAATATTTATCCGTTCCAGGATTATCATCTCACAGGGACTAGTCACGTGCTTGTGCTTTTTAAAGGACAAAAACGTCCAGGCTGAAAGGCTGCTGCGAAAGGCGTCCTGTGAGTCTTGATCCAAGAAGCAACGCAAGCGGCTGTTTCCCTTCCACTTTTCTGGTTCGACCTGTTGCTTCTGTCAGTGCCTCTTAGTTTATTTTAATTGTGCTAACGCGAAGGCGTGAAGGAGGCCTCCTCAGAACAGACGGAGGCGAGCGCCGCGAGCGTCCCGCCGGCCGCCTTCCCTTACCCTTACCCTCGCCATCGGCATCTTGTTGGCTTCGACGTAGAAGTGGGGCGTCCGCACCTCGTACAGCGCCCCGTAGTCCAGTTCCTGCGAGGAGGATGAGACCTGTTAACAGCATGCCCCCGGGCCTGTTTCTCTGAAGACCGGCCCACGGCGTTCAGCGGGGCAACTCCTGCCTAAGGACGCACGGGGCTGCGGCCCACGGGCAGCCAGGAGCCCCTCCAGTTCCTCTTCGCCCTCCCTCGGAAGGGGCGAAGGTGCGGGCGGCACGACGGGACAGGTGGCAGGAGGGGAGGGGTGCCCATCTCCCAGACGGCGCTCTTTCGAGCCGGGCAGAGGTGCCGCTGCACGCAGCGGCCTCTTGGCAACGCAGCTTTACCCTCTGCAGCCAGCGAGACAAAGCGGACAAGGAAGGGCCGGGTGGAGGCCCTGCTCCAAGCGCGCTCCTTCCCGTGCGTGGCGCTTCGGAGAGCGATGCCGGAGAGGGAGCGGCCCCAGCTCCAAGGGGCTTGCGTGAGGGGAGGGCGGCAGCCGGCCGAGGAAGGAGCGCAGGCGGGCCTACCCGGGCGTTCTGCCCCTCAAACGCCCGGGGGCCTCGCCCAGAGGCCGGTGCGTGCCTGGAAGTCCCCGCTCTGCCTCGCATGAAGGCAGGAGAGGGCCCGGCCTCACCCCCCGCTCACCTTCCCCACAGCCGCCCTCTCCTAGCGGCAGGTACAGGCAGGCGTGCGTGAAGGCGGCTAGGGGCGGCCGTCAGCGGAGGCCATTCCCACCGCGTGGAAGGAAAATTCAGGGAGCGCAAGAGCAACGCCTTCCCGGGCAGAGTGCGCCGGCCAGTGCGACGCCGGCCTTCGGGGAGGCTCGGCGCAGCGGCTCACCGTGGTGCCCATCTTCTCCAGGGCCTCCTCGTTGATGGGGTAGCGCAGCTTCATCTTGCGGTACAGCGGGTGCTTCTCGTAGTAGCCCACCAGGTCCAGCAGGCTCTCGAACTCCGCCGAGCTGCCCAGCATGAAAAGCCGCCCCTCCTGCTGAATGCGGCAGTGCTTGATCTTGCCCTCGGCCCTGCAGCGCGCCGGGTGGGCCCCGAGCCACAGAGCCCGGCGTGGCGGCGGGAGAGAAAGGCAGCGTTAGGCCACCGCAGGGGCCCCTGCCCACGGGAGCGGCTCCGCAGCAGGGCCTTGCGCCGCCTCCCGGGGAGCGGCACCCACACATGCAGGTGAGGCGGGTGGGGCGCCGGTGGCTCCTTCCGAGGGACTCCCCCGCAGCCCCAGACTTGCCGCCCCACCCCAGGCCCAGCCTTCCGGAGGTCGGCGTCAAGTCGCGCGGCACAACCCTGCGAGGGGAGGGCCGAGTGGCTGTGCTCACCCACGTCCCTTAGAGAGGCCCCGGGGCACAGCTGGGGCCTCGGGCGGCAGCCATGCTGCCCCTTCAGCCTCACGGGGCCAGGGCATTCAGAAGGGGAAAGGGGGCAGGCACCGCAATCCGGGAGCGAGCCGGCACGGGCACTGAACGCTCCCCTGATCTCCGCTTCCCTGGGGCAATCACTCCACGGGGCCCCCTATCCCTCCCACGCCGCCCCCAGCCCCGAGGATGCCGAGGGGGCCCACCGGAAGGAGATGGCGAAGGAGTTGGGCTCGCTGCGTTTGCGCACAAGGAAGGCTCCGTCCCGGGGCACCCTCATCAGCATGTGCTCGGCCTGCAGGCGCGTCAGGCTGGCGTGGTACCACCTGGCCGGGAGGGAAGGGACATCTCCGTTAGCGCCCCCGTCATTTGCACGGCCGGCGCAGTGCTGGGGGAGTCTGGCGAGGGAAGGGGGTGCTCTAACCCTGCCCAGAGGTGCAGGCACAGTCCCTGGATGGGGCCACCACCTGCAAGACCCCGGAACACCCGAAGGTCCACGCCCGATCAGACACATGTCCATCCGGGCCCCGTTCTGCTCAGCCAGGCCCACAAGGACTCCGCGACGAGCCCCAGCTGGGACACGCTCCACCCCAGGCACGATTTTCGACGCCTCGATCACCTCTCGCCTTTCCCTGAGCTGCACAGCGCCAGCTGCCACGCCTTCTCCCCGGGATGTGGGGGGGGTCGCTTCAGCCCCTGGACGGCTTTCCTGCCTTTTCCTGCCCCTTCTCCTGCCCAACAATATCCTTTCGTAGCCCCCAGGCCCTTCCTCTGAGACGCGCGAAGCGGGGCCAGCAATGCCTTTGCACACCTCATAGCAGGACTGACTTTTGCTTCAGCAGAGAGGTTCAGGGGCGGAAGCCCCGGCGCAGAGAGCCCCCTGCACCCAGGAGCCAGGCCGGCTCGGGCACGCTCCGCCAACCTCACTCGCCGGGTCTTCCTGCGCCTGTTTTCACTCCCCCAGACCTCCTCCTCCTCGACACGCCAGCGCTCAGGGCAGCCCGTCGGCACGCTGGGTGGGCAAGCGAGGGGGCACGGGCGGGGAGGGCGCTCACTCTTTGCTCTCGTGCGCGTTGGGCTGGGGCACGGGGTCCGTCAGCCGCATCTCAAACTCGTTGCAGCGCAGCGGCACCTCCCGGTAGTGGCAGATGAGGCTGTACAGGCTGTCGAACACCAGGTTGTCCGTCAGGTAGAACTTGGTGGCCCCGGCCTCCTGGCGCGAGTGGATGCGGCAGTGCTGCACGCGGCCGGAGCGCCTGCAGGGGGGCGGGAGCGGGTGGGTGACGAGGCGGGCGGCCAAGCCCCTCCGTGTCGTTCCGGGGCTGCCCCGGGCTTCCCATCAATGCCGCCCCCACCGCCCCCCCCCCCGGCTGGATCTCAGGCCGGCCTGTCTGGACCAGCCACCTGCACTCGCAAGTTCCTCTCTTGGTCAAAGGGTTGTCTGAATCTGTGCCTAAGGGCAGGTATGATGCCCAGACAGTTAATACCAGAAAACGCTTCCGACACTTCGAGAGGTCCTTCCAGGCAATGCGGGAGCGCCTCGTACATACTTCCAGCAACCCTCTTCCACACGCCCCATGCCCCGTGGCACAGGGGTTCTCTCCCTCGCGTGCGCACCCAGTGACCTTTCGGGTCCCGATCGCTCTGCTTCCTTCTGGGCACGCCACGCCTCATTTCATGCTCACAAGCTCAGGGCGTGAAGAAGGAAGGGCTGAGGACCCCGCCGGGGCGGCCACCCCGGCTCGCGCCCGGCTTCCGAGTGCGGCGCGTCCTCCTTGCACGCGGCCTACCAGAAGGAGAGCGTGTAGTCGCCCACGAAGGTCTCGCTCTCCCGCACCAGGAAGGTGCCGTCCTTGCCACCCGTCTCGGTGCAGTAATCGTGCAGCAGCTTCTCCGCGATCTGGCGCCCGTCGCGGCCCCCGCCGAGCTTGCCATGGAACCATTTCTCGCTGAAGTGCAGCTCGCTGTTGCTGAACTCCTGCAGGCCCCGGCAGGGGAGGGGCAGAGAGAAATGGGGGGGGGGGGAACACCCGGAGAATCAGGAACAGTGGCAGGGGAGTGCAGGACAGGGGGCTGCGGCAGGTGAGGACCCTCCCGCCCCGGCAGTCACTCTGAGGGTCTTCAGAAAGGGAACGGCCCTGGCCGGGGACTCTCAGGGCTGGGGGAGCCCCAGGTCCCCCCACAGACCAGCTCCCGATCATGAGCACCCCGATTTGGAAAGGGGCTTCACAAAAGGGAGCAACTGAACTCGCAAAGAAACAGGCCTGCTCCAGGGCCTCACCTGCAGCACCTGCCAAAGCATCTTCCTTTAAGAAATAACCCATCATAATCCTCACGGGTGCTAAGTGAGCTTTGCTACAGGCAAAGTCCAGTCACTGCAGTATCACAGTCATTACAGCAATAATTTTGCTGGGAAAGACTGTGGCATCGAACCGTGATCAGGAAGTCACGGTTCTGCTACAAATCTGTCCCTGAGGAACTGTGTGGTCTCAGCCTCTGCCCCAAGTCCTGCGACAAGGAAAACCCCCGTGGGCTCCTTATTGTGTTCTCGGAACTGCTATGCCTTGACCAACCTGTACAGAAACGTCGTACATAAATAAATTAAACCAAAAACTTGCCAGACTGGTGGAACGGGAGAATAGAAAAACTCCAGAGAAAAAGTATTCGCCATTTTCTTTGGAAGCTCAAGGAATATTACACAAATGCTGCATGATAAGATCCAGGATCCAGAAACGCCAAAGGACCAAGGCCTGGCAAACCGGAAGCTTCCCTGGATCCAGGATGCAGCAGCAGGAATTCTGCGCCCGGGCACACTCTGGTTTGCATTGGCCATGTGCTGGTTTTGGGTGCTTTTTTCCTGACTGCAATGCAACCGGCACTAGCCCTTTCACGCTCTGTGATTCCACGGAATATTTGACTGCCGTGCTATCCCACACGAGTGGCAGCATCCCGGCTTCCCGTGCAAGATTCCAGTGAGGAACCCCAGCAATTCCCCCCCCCCCCCGCCAACCCAAAAAGCACCTCTTTCTGTTCTGTCTCTTCCTCATCCTCGTTAGATTGATAGCGGGATGTTTCCTCAGAGTAGTAGATCTTGTTGCTCGTCAGAACAAAATAGTGTGGACTCCAGGTCTGCCGAAGAGAAAGACGTGTCACAGGAACGTGGCGTGAGAGGGACGTGGCCTCTTTGGCTTGTGGGGCACCGGTCAAAATAAAGGGGAAGCGGCAAATCGGCCGAGAAGGAAGAGCAGAATCCCTCTGGCTGCCGGTCACCCTCAGAGCGGCAGCTGGGTCCACAAAACGCCTGGGCCACCAGCTTGCCGGGGCATCCCGACGTTCCGTGATTTATCTGCCGTGAGCAGTCTGTGCTGCCAGATCGCTAAAAGTCAAGATGGCAGCGTCCAACAATTGAAAGCAAGAAAAACGATGGCATTGGCAACAGCACAGCATCAAAGCAGCGCCCTATTTTTAAAGAGGAAATGTGAAGGAAGCGTCTTCACGCCCCTTCTAAAAGCCAAGCGAGCGGGGGCTGAGCGGCAGGGCGCGTGCTCCGAGGCCTGGCGACTCGGGGAAGTGCTTTGGCTTCCCCACCCGGAGAGCTTCCCCACCAGGCAGGCTCCCACAGAGACCGGCGGTCCCTCCCCTTGCACCCGGCGCCGGCTGCTCCGGGGAGCAAAGCGTGAGAGGCTACCACAATGGGGGGACACGACGGCAGACGGGGGTGAAGACTGGCCCCCAAGGCAGAAGCCAGAGCCTCGACTCATGAGGGGGCTTTTGCGCGGCCTCGGGGTGATGCGTGAGTTCGGCCAGGCTGCTGAGGAACCCAGGCCCCGAGAGGACTGAGCGGGAGCCTCACGTGGTCGATCGGGTCTTCCAGGTACAGGATGCCGTTCTTGATGGAGTTGCTGATGTCGTTTTCGGAGTAGCTGGCCACGGAGACCTCCTCGTACAGGTTCCCTTCAACCAGCTTCTTGTGCTGCAATTGGAAGAGAAGGTGGCACGCAGGGGACCGGCCCGCCCGGCGCCCGAGCGTCACTGCTTCCCAACTGCGCTGGCCAAGTTCAGAGGCCCCGGCCGAGCGAGGATGTGCGTTCCTCTGGGCCACCTCATGGCAGATTTGTGTCCAAGGGGACCGGGGGGCCAGACCGCCCGGCCAACGGGGCACGGCTAGATGCGGGGACGGCGATGCAAATGTGCCAAGGAGACGAATCCGAGGAACAGGCCAAAGGGGTGGCAGAAAAACCGGATGTGGGCAGCAGCCAGCGTGGGGCAGCGGCTGGAGGGCAGGACCAGGACTCGGGAAATCCGGTCCCCTCTCGGCCAAGAGGATCAGTGGGTGACAGGGACTCCCCACCTGACCTCACAGGGTTGTTGTGGAGATCACATGGAAAGGAAGAGGAGAATTATGTGGCCATCTTGGGCTTCTTGCAAGGAAAAGCACTATATAAACAGCTGAATAAAAGCTGTGGGGTTAGCTGGGCTCTCGCTGCTAACTGCCCACCTCTTCCGCAGCTGGGCAGGGAGAGGCAGCTCCACAAGGGGCAGCTGGGAGCCTCGTGCGGAGACCGGCCCTTCTCCTTTTTCTGCTGAGTTTTCTACCGGGAAGGGAAATGTTGAGGTGAAGTTGGGCTGAGAGTATTTCTCAGCCAGACTGTGCTGGTGTGTTGGGGGCGTTTGAATGGGGGGGTGGGTGGCTGCTGTATTTTATTATTTAACATTCTGAGCATTGCTTTGTTTGATTTTGTATTGCTTTGCTGTTAATATTGTATTTGAATTTGTATCTGCTAGGAGGATAGCCTTGTAATTATAACAGTTTTGCATTTTGCTATTGTAAATTTTTGATCAAGTATTCCTGAAAAGAAGCAATAGCAGATTTTGCAGTAGCCTTATTTGAATCACATATTGCTCTCTAAAAACTTCATTTGTATTCGACTACATTTAATTTCAAAATTATATACCTTTATTAGCATTTTTACTGCTCACTTTCCAGTTATTTTAGAGAACTTTCATTTTTTGGTACTATATTTAAAAACGAATACATAAAACACTATATTACGTATATAATGCTTTTTATTTCTGCCTCGGCGGTCCCCAAAATACTTTTCCTACTTTTGCTGGTCCCCAAGTGCAGAAAGGTCGAAAACCGCTGCTGTACGCCACCGCATGGAATCAGGGTGGCTAAGGGGTCCCTTGCGTCAGAGAGAAGGGCTGCAGGACGGCGAGCCCCCCCGCCCCCTGGGGCAGGCCAGAGGCTCTGTCTTTACCTTGATGAGGATTCTTTTCTTGAGCTGGGCTGGGGAAGGCAGCTGGTCGGCATTGATGTCCACCGGCTTGGTGAGAAGCATGTCCCCAAAGACCTTCTTGAAGTGGGAGGCCATGTTCCTCTGCTGGACGATGCTGCAGTGGTCCTCGATGGAGAGGATGATGGGATACCTGGAGAGCAGCAGGGGGCCTCAGTCAGACACACCTCAGGCTCCTTGCCTTGGCCTGCCTGCTCACTGGTACCCTTCCGTCCACGGGCAGGTGCCTTATGGAGTGCCGGGAGACAGTTTTCTGCCCCTGCGAGCATATAGCCCTGTGGCCTTCTATGGCCGGGGTCCCGGATACCTGAAGGAGCACCTTCTTCCCTATATGCCAGCCCGCCCCTTGAGATCCGAGGCAGAGGGCCTTCTCCAGGAGCCCTCTTTGAAGGAAATTAGGAGGGTAGCGGCCTGGAGAAGGGCCTCTTCGGTGGTGGCACCCCGACTGTGGAACACGCTCCCCAGGGAGCTTCGCCTGGCGCCGTTGCTTCAGTCTTTTCAGTGTCAGGCGAAGACTTTTTTATTTTCCCAATTTTAACAGTTAATTGGTTTTATCCTTGTTTTTATCATCATTTATCAGATGCAGTGTGTTTTGTGTTGTTTGTTGTATATGGTTGCTTTGTTTTTGTTTTTTGTAAGCCGTCCAGAGACTTTTAGTATTGGGATGGCATATAAAAACTCTGGATAATAAAAATAAAATAAACAAACATCAGGCAGTTTCACACGTTTCACATTTGCCCCCTTTCTCCACCCCCCAGATAAAAACATCGCAGTGGGGCGAGGGAAGGGAACACGGAGGAACAGGCTGTGCGATTCCTCACGGAGGGGTCTCATTCCCACAGCACCCTACGGAGCGGCGCTGAAAAGTTCCCACCTGCCTCCCGGGATGCCTCCCGGAGGGCGCTACTGCGGCGGGAACCCTCCGATCTGTCCCTCCCAGCCACGTGCGCTCTCCTCCCTCCGTTTTCCGGAAGCGTTCCAGCGGGATGCTGGGATCCCTCCAGGAAGGAGCGGAGGGGAAGGAGGGGCACCAGGCCGAGGCCTCGGCCGCGTGCGAGGCGCACAACCCGCGAGGGGACGACTTACTCCGAGGTGGTGAAGGCGTGTTCCTTGATGGTGTGCAGCACGTCCAAGAACTTGATTTTGGAGGTGAGCGTGTGGCCGTGGTAGATGATCGGCAGGTCATCCGGGCCATCCCAGCAGTCCACTGCGGGCACAGAGGGTTCCACGCTGGATTAACTTTTAAGCTCGGGCTGAGCTGTTTAACCAGCTAGGATGACTCCTTTCAAAACTTTTTACTGGCCAAATAATTCTGCCCACGTGCAAAAGAAGGTCTCTCGCTCCTCTTACTCGAGCCTCAAGAGATTCTGGGCCACAATCCTGGTGAAAATTAAGCTCCACTGTACTTGCTCCTGAGTAGCTAGCAACGAAAAGACCGTGCTGGCCAGAAAGCCCAGGCCAGACCAGGCTGCGAAAACCAGTCCCCCCAAACCAGAACCGAAGGCTCTGCGGGCTTCTTGGCGCCAGGACCCCAAAGCCAGACTCACGCTCGATGCAGCGGCAGCCCATCCGGAGGCAGCGGGCGTAGGCTTCCAGGGAGGACTCGCTGGAGAACTGGTCTCCCGTGAGATACCTTCGAGAGGAGAGGGAGCGAGGCGGGGTGAGGCCGGGCCAGCCAGGGCGCGGCTTCTCACACCCTGCAAGGCCCGCTTGGCAATGCCCCAAATGGGTGGCCAGGGGGCCTATCTGAAACCCACGTGACACGGGCAACCCTGCCTCCCTCCCGGCCCAACAACTCTGCCCCTCAGACCACGTCTCCTGAGCATCCCTGCCAGACTTGAGACTCTGCGGGGCCTCCTGCCAACACTCCGGTTCCACCTTTGCGGCTGTGGGGAGCCTAAGAGGGGCAGGAGCTGCGGCCCGGCCAGGAGGGGCCCTGTGCATGGCCACGGACGGCCCCCTGCCCCCCGCGCTGCGCACAGCCTGCCAGGTGCGATCGGCCAGGGAAGCGCTTACGTGTTGTGAGAGGAGGAGATCCAGTACTGGGATAAGGGGTGGTTCATTTCATCCGGCACCACACGCTCGTGCTTGGCGTCCAGGACCATGTTTTCTTTGGAGAACAGGAATGTCAGGAACTGTGTGGGCACACGGGCAGAGAAAGCAGTCAGAGGGAGGGAGTGGGGTGGGTGCGGGGGGGGATAAGCCAGGCACGGGCAGGCGACGGCGCTGCGACTGGGCATGTGGAGACCTCAGAGGGTCCGGGGGCCGTGTGGAAGTGCCAAGCCGATGCAGATGTTGCAGCTGGCTTTAGCACGGAGACCTGCACGCTCGTGGGCCGGAGGTCTCCCGAGGGTTACTCCTCCTCTAGGCTTTTGGGGGCCTCCAGCTGCAGAGACAGAAATCTCTGAATGCTGCCCGCCCGGAAGCAAAGGAGGAGAGCGGGGCTGTACTCGGGCTCCCTGGGGGTTATTTAACTGAGGGTAAGCAGGCATACAGGCCACCCTTACGAATAAGTAGCCCCTGACGGGGCTCTGGTGTGCCGTCCAAACAAGCCACCGTGGCTTGTGTCGGGATTAAACAACCCTCACACACCCATTGCGTAACCCACGAATAACCCACAGTGAGCCCAGCATGTCACGTGAACCTCCACGGCCACTGAAATAAAAGACTCTTGCCGGGTCTCTTAAAGCTCTGGGCCTGGAGAGGCCCTGCCGGCCACCGTCCTCTGCGAGCCCCCCCCACGCTGCTCCAGAGGGGTCTGCAAGTCCCTCGAGCAGATTTTCAGGGGGCTGCAAGCACAAGCAAGAGTCCCCCCGCAACCCCCACAGCGGGAGAGCAGGGAGGGTGTGGGAGCACAGTGCCCCCACCTCATCCAGCTGGAAGAACGGCTCCGCCATGTCGATGAAGGGGTCCCGCAGGTAGCTGCACATGCACTCGTGGACTCTGGCGATGTCGCTGGCCCACGGCTCCTGCAAGGAAGGGCGGGCGGCAGCTGCAAGGAAGGCGCCCGGCAGCCCTCGGCTGCGGAGACTGTGGGGGACACAAGAGCCCTCCTCCCACGCAGAGGTGCCGCTCCGGCCTTGCTCTGACGTGAGGGGGCAACTCCCTTGGCAGCCCAGGCGGATCCCTTTCGTCATGACCCCACATGTCCAGGCGGGCTCAGGGGGCGCCCCCTTGGCATCCCATCCTGCACAGCAGGCTAGCCTCGGGGGGGGGGGGGGGGGGCGGCCGGGGTCTCCCAGTGAGCTGCATGGCCAAGCAGGGATTTGAACCCAGGGCTCTGCAGCGCACCCGCCTTCCTGTCCTCCTCTGCGAAATCGCCCTCCTCGCTCTGCAAATACCTTCTGATCATATTGCAGGAACTTCTGGAAGTCATACAGGGTGATCTGGCAGAGCTCCGGCCGGTCGACGTTTCTGAGGAGACAGTCGGAGAGACAGAAACGCGTCACAAAGGCTGCATGCATTTCATACACGCAGGGAGACTCCACATGCGGTTCAGTTTGCGGCTGCCGCTACGAAGAGAGGGCTGGAGCTGGGGGAGACGGGCGCTGGGACCTGGGATGCCGAGAGCTACACAGGTCCTTTGAACCATCCCTCAGATGTGTGCACTGAGCACAGCGGGTTCTGAAAGAGGGGAGGCGCATGGCTTCAAGGGCAGGCTGGACGTGCACATGGCGGGCATGTCGTGAGCGGAGCCAGCTGGAGCCGGGGTCAGACTAGATGGCCCGGGAGGCCCCTTGCTCTGTTTCCATGTTTCTATGGCTGGAGGGAAGGTTATCCTATCGCCCATGCAGAACCTCTACCTTCGGAGGCGGACTGACCCCGAGGGACAACCGCCTGCCTTCCCTGCTTCTGGACCCCCCGGGCATCTGGCTGGCCCCTGCTGGAGGAGGGCTGGGCCTGCGCTGGTCCAACCGGCCAGGGAAATCTTCCGCTCGTGGGGAACTTGGTTGCCGCCGCCCCCCTGGGAACCCTCACAAGCGCGCAGGACTCCCAGTGCCTTTCCTGAGCCGCTTCCCTCTCTGTGTGAACAGCCACACAAAGAGGCAGGAAACGGTCTCCAGGAGAGCCTCTTCCACTCGGGGAAAGGGAAGGGGCCTTTGGCACTTACCGCAGGGGAAAGGACAACTCCAGCTGCTCAATGATCTGAAACGCAAAGGAGTGACACAGCCGTCAGGAGCATCGCTCGGGTGCCGCCTCAGTCCAGACTCGCCCCAGGACCAGTCAATGAATGCCGCCGGAATGGACTTTTACACCGGCCCACCGAGAAGACCCCCAGAGGTGCCAAATGCAGCTGTTCTGTGCCAGTGCGTGGCCTGGGCACAGGATTCCAGGGCCAAGCTCATCCCAGACACCTCTCTCGGAGGATCCCGGAGGAAAGGCCCCTTCGCAGAGGGCAGCCAGCGCGGCCTAACCCATTTCCCCTTTCAGCAGCTCTGCCAGGCACTGATCTAAGAGGGCCGTGCTGTTTCTGCAACCCGTCTCAATGCCTCAGTCGCCCAGCCCCGTCTGGACCCTGCGTTTCGCTGCACCTCCAGAAAATCCCTATAAAGGGCAACTGCCGCTCCCGCCCCAATCTGCTCTGCAAAGCACACTCTGGATACACACAGGTGGGGCGCTGGCACTGGATGGTTCCCAGAAGGCAGATCCCCCCCACCAATGCCCAGTAGGTACACCCAGGGGGCTGCACTAAAGAATAAAAATATGGTATTACAACACATAGAAAGCGGCAGCATGGAGCAAAAAGGCCAATATCAGAGGTTATACACTTTTAAAAAACCAGTTCCGTCCATTGCAAGAGCTCTTCCAAGATGCTTACTGATTTCTGGGCATCAAACATCAGGTTTTTGTAGAAGTGAGCAAAGTGGCTGAAGTTAATTTCACTGCGGACTTCTACCTCCTGTTCAGACAAAGGAGCAAAAGGAAGGAGTTAATGCAGCTTTCTTGGACTGGGGCTTCTCGGTCTGCAGGAAACCCGTCATTGCCTGGAGAGGCGGTGGGCTCTCCCACACGGGTGGCATTCAAGAAGAAACTGGACAGCCACCCGGGTGGGGTGGTGCGACTTGGCGTCCTGCAACAGCAGAGGGTTGGCCCCTTCCAACTCCACTCTTCTGTGATCCCGCGACAGGATTCCAAGTTGAATCAGCCCACGGATCTGCCTGGCAGCGGCTCACAGGGCCTGCCACAGCAGCCTGCTACAAACAGCCACTGCCTCCATTTTAAACGGGAGATTCTGCGACAGAGCCTGCAACCTTTCGCCTGGAGAGCACTTAAGAGCTGCCTTCCCCGCACTTCGAAGAGGGCAAGACGGGGCCCTGCAGGCTCGACACGCGAGGCGGGGGAGCAAGGCCCCGGCCGGGCCTCTGCAGCGAGGCCGACAAGCCAAGGGCCCCCCTCTGGGGGACCTGCACGGGGGAGCCGAGTGCACAGAGCTGCAGCTGCCCCTGGGAGCCAGGTGGCTGAGCCCCATCGGCCGTCTGGGCGAGCCCAGGTCAGGGGCCGGGACAGGGCTACGCACGGCATCAGTGCGGGGGGCCGAGGGCGCCACAACCCCTGCCAGGGTTTCGTGGCACCTTGCAAAGTGCAGGTGATCCTTATATCGGCCTCATGGTCACCCCCCTCCCCAGGCAAAAAGAATTTTGCGAAGCACGCGGGTCTCACGTGCCCGCTCAAGGCAAGTGTTTTGCCTTAGGACAGGAATTCCTCGCCACGGTGTCTTATGGAGAGGGGAGAGGGATGCCCAAAGGCGTGGAGGACATCCAATCCCAGCCCTTCGACACGCATGGCCGCTGCATCACAGCCTCCCCTTGTGGGCTCCCGGCAGATTCTGCAACCCACTCCGGCAGCCCCTCTTGTGGCGAAGGCCCGGCACGATGCTGCCGGACACGGCTGCGCGCCTGACGGAGCCGCGCTGGGAACCATTCCCGCACAGCACCCTCAGCCACCTGCTTCACTGCGTCGCGCCCGCTGGGCCCAGGCGGCTTGGCGTTTGGGGAGGGGGCGACCACCCGAGCACCGTCCGTGCCCAGGCAGAGGGCTGCTGCGACTGCCCGCAGAGCCGTGCCACACGGGTCCCCACAGCACGGCCACCTGTCTGGCGAGGGGAGCGAGGCGACGCTTGCAGGCACATGGCTGGCCCATGCAGCAGGGCAACGGCCCGGCGGCCTCTTTCTCTCCGGGGACCCCGTGAAGCTGGTGCCCGACTTCCGCGCCCCCCGTGGGCAAAGCAGGCCGATTCAACGTGGGAAGCGGCTGGCCCCTTACCAGCAGTTTGTCCCTCAGGAACCTCATGTTAGGCACTCTGTAGTTGACCTGGGGCAACATGGCCTTCAGATCCTTGGGGGTTATGCTGCGAGAGAGAGAGAGAGAGGAGGGAAGGTGAAACGGAGCCGGCCGTGCGGGAGTGTGCCAGCGCATTCCTGCCACTGCCAATGATGAAAGAAGAATTTCATCCGTTGCTGGGACAGAAACGATGCTTGTGTCACAGGCCCCTAATCACCCCATTACGGCCCCAGAGCCCTTCCGAAAGTCAGAGCTGTATAGACCAGCTCCACACTCAAGCCTTCAATGGGAGCATCATTCTTAAGATGATCACCTAAGTCCTTTCAAAGCCTTTTCCATTGGGACAGCCCTGCAAGGGCCCTGGCTACACCCCAAGCAGGCCGCTCGCCTTCCACATTTCTCCATCCACTCAACACGCATGCATGACGTTCCTGAGAAGGCTCGGGTGCCAAGGACTAGGGTCAAAACTCAGTTTGAACCACGGGGCACGCGAGCGAACCGGCAAACCCCCTCCGATTGCGGGCACTGTTCTGGGCCCCGGGGGGCTTCCGGGCTGCGGCACTGGGTGCCCAGAAGCCTGTGCAGAGCCAAAGAGGCTGCTCACTCCGTCCAGCGCAGGGCGCACGGCCCCTCTCACCAGACCCACCTCTGCGGGAACCAAGCGATCCGCTAACTGGCAGCCCGCCCCGGCCGGCGCGCTTGCGCTTCCCTCCTGCGGACGGCAGAGGGCTGCAGGGGGAGGCCTCCCTTGCAGCTCCCCCCGCGACCCCACCCTCGGCTAATTTAAGGCAGCTGCTCCGGGCCGGACAGGCCTGGGAGTTTGTTAGGGGAAGTCTCCGAGGAAGGGGGAGGTGGGCGCCCGCTGGATTCCCCCGCCCCGCTTCAATGGGCAGGGGAAGCTTGCAGGAAGGGCTGAAACATCAACCCGGGCAGCACCCTCTTCCCTTGTCCCCACGGACCCTCCGCTCCCCCTCCAGATGTGCCCCTGGAGCGAAGAGGGCGGAATATGCTTGGCTATCCCAGGGTCCACGCAAGAAGCAAAGGGCAACAGGGGCAGCGGGGGGGCAGGGGGAGCCCCGTGCGGGGGCAGGCCTTTCAGTTCGGAAGTGGAGCTGAGAAGAGCAGCCGTGCGTGGCTGGGTGGGTTGGGAGGGCCCCGGGCCCAGGCGGGTCGTCCGGGTTTCCAGAGCCGCCAGAAGAGCTGGCGCTCCAGTTCTGGGCCAGGGAGAGCCTGGACGGGAGACACCCCCACCCCCGGACACGTGGCTCCCTGGGTGGCCAGCGGCCCCTTACGCTCCCTCACCCTAGCCTACCTCGCAGGGTGGTTGTGAGAATGAAATGGGGAGAGGAGCCACCTGCGCACTGCCAGACCACCTTGGAGGAAAGGCGGGGTTGGTTGTCCTGTGATTCATTAGCCGATTTATCCCATGCCTCTCGCCATGGCTGGGTGGGGGAGGCATGAGCAGGCGAATCCGCTTGCGAGGGGCAGATGCCCGTCCGGCTGAGCAGTGGCCTGGGGGCTCCAAGCTCCGGGGGCACGCGGCCGTTCAGCCCCCAGCTTCACTCAGCGGCTGGCACAGGGGCACGATCCCCTGGGAAGACCCTCGCGCTCCCCATTGCTGGAAAAGCAGGAGAAGTTGTCAGTGCAAACGTGGAAAAGGGACTCTGGCCTGGACAAGTCTCCTGACGATCCATCGTTTTCCCTGTGCCAGGAGAAAACCGCCTCGTTCTCCCTGCATGTAGAGCTTTCTTTTAAGCTACTGCACTTCCAGTCGTTCTTTTCCTGTTGTTAACAGTTTGCTTGATTTTATTCTGCTGCATTGCAAGCATCGCAGTGAATTGGCACTCAAGAGCGAACAAAAACATCTGAACAAACGGAAGGACTCTGCATGCAGCGCTCTGGCTGCAGAACAGGGGCATGCCTTGCTGCACAGGCCAAGGTGCTGGACCTCAGCGAGGATTCTTTCCACGAATCCCAGCAACTAGGCACGAGGTCAGCTTTCCCCAGCTCGGTAGGCTGCTCCGAAGGGCCACAGGACATGGCCCTTGTCCTTCCAGGCGTTGGAAGGGACACTTCTGAAACAAGGAAGCGCCAGCATCCTTAAGGCAGAGGGTTCCCTAAATCACATACACCCTGGCAGAGGAAGAGGACCACTGCTGATAATCTGGGGGACAGAACATGCCACAGAAACATCTGCCTTTCATGCTGTATCTTTGAGTAGGGTTAGAAGAATCCCAGGAGGGTCCCTTCATTTCGGCCAGACAAACCTGGCCTAGACAGACCAGGGCAGGGCCTGAGTTGGGATATTATTGTTTTCTGTGTTACCAAATCCATGCTGTACTCTTGGTGTGTCCCCATGAAAGTAATTCCAGACTGATCAACATATTTACCAGAAGGCCTGGTTCACATGTAAGAGTAACCCATGGTTAGGTAATCCAGGGCTTGTTGAATTCTAGGTTGTTGTGATGTGCAAACCCAGTCAAATGGTGACCTCTGGGTTGTTTCAAGGGTTAATTTGCAAAGCCACAACAATGGTGGGCAAGAGTGATGAAAAAGCCTCAGCTGCTTGGCATGCCAGTTCGATGACATTGCAAAAGTGTTTAGGAGACATGATTAAAACAAGTTTTACTAGAACTTATAAGATTAAATATGGTTGCCACAGAATATTCCCAGAAGCTGCTGAAAATTCCAGTTTGGGACATCATACATCGTCATATTCGAATCATGTATAAAATAACATTAGTGATATTAAGCCTCTTTCGAGACACTAATTGGATTAAAGCATTAAAACAATTCTCAAGAGAGCTGAGAACCCTTTATCAAATAATTCCACTGGGACTAAAGAAAGAGGGACACAAGAGGTGTTTTGATGAAGTAATCCAGCTGTAATTATGGGAGCCATGCCTGTACTGAATTCCCGCAGGATTAAGATGCACAATTTACTAAGCGAATGGGGGGGGGGGATTGCCGTGAGCGTCAAATGAGCCACGCAGGACATAAAATGAGTGCCGGATAAAACACCCTCTGTGGATTCTAGCAAGTTCTCAAAGAGGCTCGTTGCTGCCTGAACGTGGCGCTCTGGGTGACCGAGGAGCCCGAAAAACAGCCCTGTTGGGCCTCCACTTTCTCCTAGTTCAGCCTTGCATCCCTTCCTGCCTCCACACCCTCTTCTTCCTGCCCGGATCCCCAGTCTTTCCTCTCCAGCATCCTGTTTACTCACTGTTGGCCTACGAGGGGGGCGAGAGGTCACCTCTCCTGCCTCCTTTCCATGACGCTCCTCGCCCGGGAGCCGCGGCTCTTTGCTGGCTCTCCTTTGGCCCTCTTGCAATCCCTTTGTTTTAGAGCATGAGACTCGGAGCTTCGTGCCCAGACCAAGAAAAGGGCTCTGCCCAGGAGAAACCATGTGAGCCCCCCCCCCCACCCCGGACAAAATGAGAGCAACCCCACCAACAGTGACTTCCTAACGAGGAGGGGCTCCACCGCTCCACTGGGCCAGAGGAAGGTCCGGCGGCTCCAGGCCCTGGGAGCTTTGCCCACAGCAACTGGTACACAAAACATGCCTCTGACTGGCGAGGCTACACACAAGCCAACAGTGCGCTGCAGCCGCCAAAGGGGCAAATGCTATTTTGGGATGCATTTACAGAAGGACTGCTTCCAAATCTCGAGAAGCAGTCGTTCCCCTATACTCCTCACTGGTCAGACCTCACCTGGAATACCGTGTCCAGTTCTGGGCACCAAGATTTCAGGAAGATGCAGCTAAATTAGAAAGGGTCCAGCGGAGGGTGACAGAAATGATGCAGGGTTTGGAGACACTGCCCTGTGGGGAGGGACTGAGAGAACTGGGCATGTTCAGCCTTGGAAGGGAAGACTGAGGGGGGACATGGGATCCCTCTAAAAATACCTCCAAGGCTGCCACAAAGAGGAAGGGCAGGATCTCCTCTCGCTGACGCCAGAGTGCAGAACACGGAATAATCAGTCCAAGTTGCGACAACCCAGATTCAGGCTGGACATCAGGAAATGCTTCCTCACAGTCAGAGCAATGAGACAGTGGGACCAGCTGCCCGGAGAGGTGGGGGACTGCCCCACACTGGGGACATTCAAGGAGAAACTGGGCAGCCCTCTGAGTGGGGTGGTATGACTTGGAGTCCTGCAACAGCAGGGGGCTGGACTAGATGGCCTTCATGGCCCCTCCAACTCTGCCAGTCTATGGTTGTGTGAAAGGCAATCTGCCTCGAGGGCAGTTTGCAGCCACGGGTGGCCCTTGCTTCTCCCACAAATGGTCTGGTCCTTTCCTGCAAGCTGCCCACGCGAATGCCCAGCACCATCAAGGGAGGCTGACGGCTCTCGGCAGCCGTGTGGGCAGAAAGCACCATTCGGCTGCAGGACTCCCAGCTGGGCAGGGCAGGGCAGGGCAGGGCAGGGCAGGGCAGGGCAGGGCAGGGCAGGCTGCCCCAGCCGGCTTGGGGTCTACCAAGCCAGCAAGCAAGCAAGTTCCCAGCCAGCAAGTGAGCAATCACACTGAACGAACCGAGAGAGGAACAGGAGCTTGGCCGTGGAGTTCAGCAGGGGAGGTCAAGGTGACGCCCCCCCTTTTCTCCTTCCTGGAACCCGCACAAGGGCCAGAGGGTCCGAGCCCCAGCTCAGTGCAGGGCTGCAGGTTCGGCCCTCCCTGCCAGGTGGCTGTCCAGCTGCCCCCTGAACACCTGCATGCCCTCCTTGCGTCATGGGCTCCATTCAGTCTGACCCCCTTTTTTCTGAACCCGGTCGTCCCGCTCCCCCTCTCTGGGGCAGCAGAAGGCATCGTCAGGCGCGTGGCAGCACCTCAGCTATGTGGCCAGCCAGGCGCCCCCTGCCTGGGGGCGCCACGCTTCCCTCCCCCAGCCACCCCCCGCCCCGTGCGGTGTGGCTCACCACCTCCCCTGCCCACGGTGACGCAGCCCTGGCCACGGACAGGGGGAGAGGGGCTGTGAAGGGCGGGTTGCGGCCTTGCGAGGGGCGGCACTCTGCACGTGAACAAGACGGGGGGGTGCAGGAGGCGGGAGAGAGCCCCGCAGAAGCAGCCGCCCCGAAGGGAGGCCAGCCCTCACGTCCCTCAAAAGCGGGGCGCCCTCCCCACTCACCTCCCTTCCCGCGATCTGTCCATCGAGTCAAACTGCTTTCTCAGCCACCTGAGGAAAGAGGAGGGAGAGAGGGCATCAGCGTTTGGTCCACTGAGGCACAGAACCGCTGGCGCGTTTATCGAGTGCCTCCCACAGGTCTCCTCCTGGGTAGCTGGAGTCACAGCTGTCACCTGGACGTGTGATCCTCGTTCAAAGGCAGAGCTCAGCGCACTTCTCCCACAAGAGTCCCGGCACCACGCCTCCCACCTTCTGACCTTCAGAACATAAACTGCCTTGCTGGATCAGAGCAAAGACCCAGCTAGAAGGGGGGAGAACACAGAGTGACCACAAAGGGGCTTTTTGTGGAACATCTACTGCAGCTCTTTCCCCACAGCTGAGCTACGGCGCTTTTCCCAACGTCCCAGGATGCCTCTACCCAAAGGGGAGGTGCTGGCTTGCTGACTCTCTGGAAGGCTGAGCAGAAGAGGGCCCTGAGCCAGCCTCTCCTGCATGAGGAGCAGCAGGGCAGATGGTTGGTGTGGTCTTATCCAGGAGACTGAAGGGAACAGGTGGGAGAACGAGCTGAGCTGAGCTGAGCTGAGCTGAGCTCATTCAATAGGACAAGCACACAGGGACTCTTTATTCACTTGGTGTGGCATTCAAGGTGAAGCTAGGCCCGTAACGTTCTTTGGGGGCCAGGCAGCCGCACCCTACTCTCCCCCACAGAACAGTTCCTCCAGCTCCCTGCACCTTTCGATCAGGAGCGGCGTCTGCGATCGTTGCGTGTCCGTCACCAGCCAGTTCAGACCTGCCACCCAGAGACTGACATCATCTTCGCAGAAGGCTGAGAAATAAAACATAACAAACAGACGTGGCGGGAAAAGGAAGAAAGAGCTGGTCATATTTGACCCAAGGGAAGGCCTGCCAGCCGTGGATGCTCGGCTGGAATTCGGGAAGGGGGTCCAGTTCCTCCCGTGGAGCACTGCAGCTGTTTAGCAAGACTCCACGGTGACCACTGTATCCCCCTGTAGCTTAGTGTTCCTTACCAAACAGCAGGGATGGCTCTGCCAAGGAAACTGGAGGGGAAGGCTGACCTGGGGATTCCCTGCAGCCAAATTCAATTGATTCCCTTTTGCAATTCAATCAAATTTAATTGATTCCCTTCTGCATGGGGAGGGGTGTCATGCTGGGGAGAAGGAGAAGAAATATGGCTGAATAGAACCTAAGGCTTGTTGGAAGCCTCTGAGCACTCCCAGTTGGAGTATGTCAAGCCACTAGCCCCTCTTTTTCCTCCTTAACCAGTTTTCTGCTGGACGAAAAATGATAGAGGAAGCGGTGGGAAAATTATGGGCCAGTTGTGCACTGAAGCAGCCACATCTGGATTCTGTGCAGAAATGCTGCCCAGGAAGCATGATGAACTTCCTCTAAGCCTCAGCACAACCATTTTTATTTCTCCCGCGTTACTTGCTCTTGGGACAACAGAAAGATTTTTTATGCAAACAGTCAGGGGGTTCACTCAAATAGCATCTCTGGAGAGATTTACAGATTATTTCAACATTATTTCTTAGATTAAGAAGGTGTGCAGGAGCCTTATTTTAAGTTCAGGGTTCTTCTAGGTGGCTTTTGCTTCAGAACAGTTAAAGTGGAGCGTTTTATTTTATTTTTTACAGATAAGGGTTGCCTGTATTTTCCAAGGACAACTAGAATCGCAGTGGGCACAAAAATTCACAGAAAATGAGATAACAAATATGTCACTTGGATAAACTGAATTAAATAGCATGACTTCTGCTGATACAACAGTTCTGCATTGGCACAGACCTTCCATCACTCCAGATCCAAATATTATATAAATATAAATGATGTTTAGATCAGTTTGAGGATAAATGTGTACAAAGGGAGAGAGATATTTTCCAGGGAAAAATGGCAGCCCATTTGCATCTGTGCTCACGGCACCAGCCTAGACAACACGGAAGGAAGGTGCGCCGCACGCCTCCGTGTTCTGTGAGTCTTGGCGGCTTTGTTTGTGTTGGCCGGGGGCCAGGGCGAGACAAAACACACAGACATTATCACCCTGCAGGTTTCAGAATTAGAATCACACCAAGGCACAGCAAGAACTCCAAGCTCGAAAACAAACTTTGAGATTAAATGCAAGTTAGACGAATCAGCAAAAGCAAGCCGATGGGGCGCATTGCCTTGATGGAACGCGAATGACACAGCAAAAGGTCTTCGTTGCAGCAGAGCGTCTGGAAGGGCAGCCAGGAAGCGTTTTGCAGCCTTCCTGGTCCTCTCTGCATCGTGGTCTCCCCTGATGAATGGCTGCTGTGCCCCCTCCCAGGTGGTTTTCTCACACTGTGCCCCGTGCCAGCACACAAAGGACGGTTTAATAGATTATGCAGCTGCTCTCCCAAACTGCACCAGCACAATTCAGGCTTACCTTGAGATTGCGAGCAAATGCCTGAAACGTTTGGGGGCACTGCCTGAAATTGGAATGTGGCAGAGGCCCACTTCAGTGGCTAATAAAGCAGGCTCTAAGAGCTAACTCCCCAAGGAATCGGAGCGCTTTACATAATTATGGTGAAGTAAACCTGCATCTACTTTCAAAAAGGCCATAAAATACTTAACATTTTATAGTACCTTCAACTGTCCAGACTATTCTCGTGCATGAATTCATTCGAACTCTTATTAGCAATATCAGCTCCCCTTTTGCTGCTGGAGAGGTCATGAGAGTGGCTAAGAGCAAAAGAAAACAACTACCCAGTCCATCCTCTAGGATGTGTACGTGTTGCCACTGAAACGTAGGTAAACCAAGCCATGCTAACTAACCATGGTTTGTTAACAACAAATAAGTGATGGTTTACAACCCGACAACAACCCATGGGTTCTCTTCATGGGTTGCTCATGGTTAAAGACCATGGTTAGTTGGCGCTGCTGGCTTAGCACAACAAACAGCCCACGGTTCAGTGATATCCACACCCAAGACATATTTAAGCTTGAGTGGAGGTTACCCATTTTGTGAGTGAGTTGTGGGCAGACGTGAGATTCAAATAAGGGACTTCCCATTTACAGGTCAGTCTCTTTTATTCTCGTCGTGGGGAACTGGCTGGAAGGAGCTGTTTTGTTAGCATCAGCCTGAACTGCAAGCAGAAGTTGGGAAGTAGCGTCCCAGCAATCCAAATTAAAGTCAATAGCATCGACTCATCAATGTTTCCAAAATACTGAAACGCTGGAATAAAACTTGAGCTGGGAAAAGCAAGGGGCACATGGCTAACACGATAATTAAAAAGAGGGGGGCAACCAGGCATGCCGGGATGGTCTCCTTCCGGACATCGGCTGCTGCAGCTGGCCGCTCCCGCAGCCAACAGCAAGCTGGGCACTTCTCTGAGAAGGCAACATCAGCCTCGTGTTCAGAGATGCAATCAGCCCTGACGGAAATTTGAGCTGGAGGGTAACCACAGACGGTCTCGGTTTGCTTAACTGAAAGCAGAGATTAGATCTGCAAAAGTTGCAACTTGTTCGTGTCCCTAATCACAGTATTCTAGCCATTCTGTGAGTCGCACCACAAAGACTGCACGGATGCACTCCGTCGTCTTCCACAGTGCTAAGGGGCAACCCCTCTCATGCACGTAACCGATGGTACTGACGGGGACTCGCATGTGCGAGAGGGTGCCTCCGATTCCGGGGTTTCACCGTCATCCCTCAGTGGATCTGAGCCTTCACTTTAACAAGACAAACCCACTGAAAAGTCGGCCAACATCTCCCCTCCAAAGGAAAATACACTAGGAGCTTAACATTATTCCTATCACCCTTCACTGACCAGCAACACTCAACGTCTTCAGCCTGAAGTCCATCCCATATAAGATGACAAAACACAACGCAGAGTCCAGTTTCCGGGCTTCTTCGGGGTATCGTTCGAAATCCCGGGAATTTTTTCCTGCCCGGATCTCCTTAATTTCCCTGATGTCCACTGCAGAAAGAAGCAGAGAGAGGTGAACATGTGCATAGCTGTTCCAAGATTTCGAAGGATTATGCTAGCTAGACAGCACCCTGCCCCAGCATGTCTAGAACTTTATTTTTATGAGTTTCTTATTACATTTAAACCTCGCCTTTTGGCTCTGGAAAGGAATGCAAGGAAGCGTCCATCGCTCTCCTCTCCCTTTTATCCACACAACAACCTCGCGAAGTTGGTCGGGTTGAGAATCAGCCACCAGCCCAGAGTTACCAGTGAGCTTTGTGGCTCAGCGGGAACTAGAACTTAGATTTCCCAAGAGTCCAACCCTCAAGATGCTGTGCCACATGGGCTCCACGGGAATCGTCCAGTTGGCTCGGTCATTTCTCCTTCCTTTAATGCTGCCAACGGCAACCGGCCACAGGCTGGATTCTTTCAACATCACGCAGAACACTTCATAATCTTGTATTCTGCACCACCATCTGGTTAGATATTCAGAGCCAATTCATGTAATTCCCAGAGCGGTATTTGCATGGAATTAATTAATCCTGAATTTAAAAACCACTGTTGGGCTCTATTGTACTCACCATCTCGACACGCACAGTGTATTATTTGTGGTCTACATACAGTTCTGCTTCACAGTGTTTTGCCCTTGAGAGCAGCCTAATAACGTTTTCAAGTCAATAAATATAATTTCTATTCCCCTACCTCACTTGACCTGGGTAGCTGTCAGGTTTCCTAGGATTTGGACAACAGAATTCAACAGGTGCCGCTGCCTCCAGCATGGAAATGCACTGAGGAGAGCAGGATGCACCTGCCATGTCCCTGCACATCAAGAAGAGGCCCAGGAGGATTTCGGGGATGGGTCACGCCTGCGTGTCCAGCCTTGGCTTTGGCCACACTGGTCTCCCAGCCAACCATGGGGCACATATTCCTCGAAAAGCAGACTCTGGTCTGTCTGGCCAGCGAGTGCCCCCCACAGCTGCAGGACCTGCCAGTCCGGTGGCAAAGCACTCTTCCTTCCCAGTTCCCCCAATGCGCCCCAGTCCCACCCCCCCTTTACTGAGCCGCCTCCACTGGGTAATGCCAGGGTGTTGTCAGGACGCACCTGGCTGTCATCCACCTGCACTCGGTGGAGGGAGGGGCTTCCCTTGCTAGGATAAATCCCCCATCGGGGCAGGGTGTGGGAAAAGGGCACGACGGGGCGGCACGGGAACAACTGGCAGGCACAGGGAGCTGAACATGTCCCTGCACACAGCTGCCTTGTGAAGGCAGCGCCTAATAGCGCAAAATTCCTCTGGGTGCGTCACTGCGCTTAGCGCGCGCGCGCACACACACACACACATATGACCAAGTTTCACCCTCACCATCAGCAGCGGCAGGAAAACATGTAAGTGCCTTGAAAAGGGCAGCGCTGCGTGAAGCCTCAGAACGACAAGCACAAGTCCCTAGGCGTACAGCCCGAGTGCCGTTAGAGTTACGTGTGGTAGAGTCCTCTCCGACTGGTGGCCACCCGAACAGTGGGTGCCCCAAAGCGCCCTGTCAGAGGCAGCACCGGCACTTCCTGAGGGCACCAGGTTGGGGGAGGCAGCCTTCCTAAGACGAAGCGGAGGGGCCTGGGGCCGTGACCTGACAGGCGTCCCCCAGCGGAAACACACGGCTCAGCCGCCCCGCACGGCCCTGTGCTGGTTGGCCCCCTGCCACTGGCCTCACGCTCGCCCCAGGCTGCATTCGGCCTCCCTGCCTGGGGGCTGAGCGCCTCTCGGGGACCCCCCTCCCTCGCGCTTCTCCTCTCCGGCCACAAGCGAAGGAGACACCCCACGGGCCGTTTCCCAGGCCTTATTCTGGGCGGCCTTTGGAAACCGATCCCACACGCAGGCAGCGCAGGGAGTGAGGCGGGGGCTGGAGCAGCGGCTCAGCAAGGTGGGGGGCTCTTTGCCCCGGACGAGCGGAAGAGCGCCGAGGAGAGCGCAGCCAGCCTCGCCCGGCCCGGACCGGTAGGGCAAAGGCACCACAAGCCGCGCCACTCACACCCCCAAGGAGAGTCGCTTCCTTTTCCTCCCTGCCATAAGTAGCTTTCAGTGTATTTTGAGAAATTTCCGGAGCCTGCTGTGAGTTTCCAGAGCCCGTCCCACCAGAGTCGTGGGTCAGATTAAACACCGGTGACTTCCAGTGCTGCAGTGGAGGAACCTCTTGGCTCCTTCAGGGCTGCTTTTTTGTATTGTGCAGGGTCCTCGTCCATAAGGAGGGGCTGCCCGGTGCAGTTTATCCACGTGGTCTGTTTGCATTGCCCCTACAGAGGGCAGGATCCTGAGCTGTGGTAACACCGGGCCCAAGAGCACAACGAACGGAGCAAACGGCAGAGGTCTCCCGTCGTCCCACATCGTCCCATCAGCTCCGGAAGGATCCAAAGCACGCTTGCTGAGCACCCGCTCTAGTGCCGAAGTCCGATGCCCAAACCCTCTTGCGCGTTGTCACGGGCCGAGTCTTCCCATTTGCGTTCAAGGCCTTCCTCACATCAAGAGGAATCCGGGGCAGCAGCTTTCTTGGTGCATTTGGTGATTCGACAAGCAGCTGCCACAGAAGGGCTGGCGAGGCGGGGGGGGGGCATGCCGGACGCCGTGAACGCTCACGACTTCGGTGCCAAGGAACCCCCCCACTCACCCCACAGAAAGAAAGACACCCCCTTATCCTCTCATGCACACACTCTCTCCACACCCCGAGTTGCCTCTGCCCCGGCCATTCGCACAAGCACCGCGAGTATCTGCCCGGCCTGTGCTCACACTTTGGCAGGCTGTCCAGCCGGGGCAGAACCAGGCAGGGCCTGGCGTGTTTACAACCCACGCAGCTAAAACGCGGCCGAGATGAGGCCCACGTGTTTCTTGCAGGGAAGCCAGCAAGCCCTTACGTGTGGAAGCCTTTACGCACAGCCGCACTGTCCAGGGGCGATTCCGTGCGGGAAAAACAGCACGTGAAAGAGTCTCCTTCCCCAGCGAGGTGCTCTTGGGCTTAATACTCTGGGGAAAGCCGAGCCACCCGATCCAGTTTTGGGCCAGCTGAAGCATGGAAAGCCCTGAGACCGTACCAAGAAGGCGGAGGGTTGCCTGCAGCGGAAAGCTCCCCCCCGCTACACACCTTAATCACCAGCTTGCCCAGTTTACCCTCCCATTAGTCTGTCTCCAGTTCCCTTCTCCCCGGGGTGCTTTGATCTCACGGTTTTAAATTACAGCTGCCTGCAGACAAGGGGCCATTTAAACCCAGCCCTTCCTGACCGGCCCCTCTCATTACCCTCGAACGCCCACGGCCAGTGGGGTCATTAGGCTGCGGTTCCTGGCTCCGTGCTCTTGACCACCAGACTGTTTATGTGCAGGGCAATTCGGCCCCCGGGGACGGGGACGGCGCCTCCTCCCGGGAAGCCCCCCAGGCCCTGCTGCCCGCGCTCTGCCAGGGTGGGCACGGAGAGGAGGAGCGCCGCGTTCTGGGCTCCAGCTCCTGGCATTCCGGACTGCTGGCCACGGCGGCAGAGGCTCTGGGAGTTCGCCTTCCGCTCTCCCCATCCTGAGGGGCAGGCACGACACGGCCCCCCATCAGACGAACGCCCGAGTGGTTTTTGCAGATGGCACCGTCTTTATCAGCTTGCACATTGGTAATGGGCCCACGGGCTGCTGGGAAAGGGTCACCAGGTCCTCTCTCTGCCTCTCGCATCTATGGGTGGCTGGGCCTCATTCTGCGGTCCTACCACCGAGACCCACATCACTGCTGGAACACTGAACAAAAATATGCATTTTTGCAGAGCCGGAGTGATGCAGTGGGTAAGAGCGCGTAACCCTGCGACTCTGGCAATCCGGGTTCCGTCCCCGCTCAGCCACGGGCCCACTGGGTGGCTCTGGGCCAGTCCCAGACTCACAGCCAGCCCGCCTCACAGGGCTGTTGTGAGGATGATGCTGAGTCGGAGGAGAAGTAGGTACGCTGCCTTGAGTTCTGCTGCAAAGGTGAGCAGAACTCTGAGAAAGAAATCATGTGCTGCGGGGGGTGGGGCGCTGTGCTGGGGCTCAGGAGAGCCACGTCGCCACTCGGCCGCTGAGCTGACCGGGAGGCTTCGAGCCAGCGCCCTCAGCCCAGCCTACCTCACAGGGTCGTTAGGAGGCTAAAATGGAGATGAGGGCTACGTAAGGCCCCCTGGGCTCCCAGGAAAAAGGGTGCAGGATAAATGGAGTAACAGGTAAGTAACTGAGGGGAAGACTCCACGCATCGACAAAGTTCAGTCGAAGCAACAACAGTGCGTACCGTAACGGATGTGCCACAAAATGCCGGGCTGTTTATGGGCCGGCCTGGAACAGTCTTCAAAAAGCCGTAAATATTCACAACCGGGGGAAGAGAGAAATACCCGAAAACCATCCAAAACGCCCTCCTTCCCTGGAGTGAGCCATTGAGCGCCCTTTGAACCCCATACCGCCCTGACACGGAGCACACGGCCACGCTTGCACAGGGGAAACTGCACAGCTCAGCAGAAATTGGGGAGACTTCTTTGGCTGGGCCTGCTCGGCAGCGATGCCTTTGATTTCACGGCTGCAAGCCACCCTAAGCCGAACACACGCACGAACGCACGAACAGGAAGGGCGGGGATCTAGGTTTTGCACATAAATACACCACACTGCACGCACGCCATGCGGTTTCCTCGCAAGGCATGCAACACATTCACGCAGCCAGGCCCTTCTGACAATCCATGCACGGCCTTCCTGCCGTTCCCTTCACTGCAGCTGGTGCCGTGGAAGAATCCCGACTTCCTGATTTTCTAACCAGCCCCTGCATAGATTTTTACGGCTATAATTAGGTCCAGTATTGTCTCATTGATTCCAAAACATTTATAATAAAAGCCAAATGTTCTACTAATCTCCCACTGCCTGAACAATGCAAAATATGTCCATTTAATTGAATGGAGCAACCCCATTCAATAACGAGCAGAGAAATTTCCAGCTTCTAATAGAACAAAACCAGAAATGCATCCCTATTTTATT